TTAATAAGTGCTGCAGTGCTTTAAACAATGGGGGGTGCAGTGAAATAATATTGGCCTGTGATAAAGCAGTCAGTCTCCGTTAAAGAAAAATCTATATCATTTTAACGATTCCACTTTGGGTGCGTCGTTCTGAGCTGTGAGTTCAGCACTGAGGCTTGACCATGGTGTCTGAATGAAAAAATAAAAATAGAGCCATTATTGGACAGACACTGATGATTTGGCCTTCGCTGTAAAATTATTTAGTTAAAAAATGTATGTCTTTGTTCAAATTCGGATTTTAGTCATTGATGATTATTCTCGTTAAGCTTCGTGCCACTGTATGTGTGTGTGTGTGTGTGTGTGTGTATGCGTGCGTGCGTGCGTGCGTGTGTGTGCGTGCGTGTAGGCCTGCAATAGAAAAAAAAAACATAGAGATTGAACAGAGACGTTTGTAACAGAGACGTCGCGCTCCCGTGAGTCCAAACACATATTAATTTGTTATTACTATAAAGTTGTGTGTTTTAAGTTACTAAAATCGCAAACACGAGTGAGACGCGATCGCATGCAGCACAGATCGGAAGTCTCGCTCTGACGGAAATGATTCTGGGAGAGAAAAAAGTACCGCTGCTCGCTGATCCGCACGGAGCTCAAATATCCGCAGGTCAAAAGAGGAGCCTCCATTCATCCGTTCGACTGCGGCAGAGACCGAGGGGGGAGGCCAGGGGGAGGCCAGGGGGAGAGGCAGAGGGGAGCAGGTTACATTCTCCCTCCTATACGTTTACACCTGTCCCAAAACAAGTGCAAACGAAAGTATTTGTAGATAAATCACGTGGGGATTATGCGTTTGATATTTGGCCTGGAGTCGTTCCAACACATGGCAAAGTGCATTCACGAAGCGGAAGGACAAAAGAATGAACTCTGGGAAAAACTAAAAAGAAATGCTTTAGTTGTTTTTGATTGAGTGGGTTCTAAATGTCTGTCAGAAATATGAATAAAAAAATGGAGAGACTATAGTTTAAAATACAGGGAAGAATTTGTAATTATAAAGGCTTTGAAATGTTCTGAATTCGTGCGTTGGAAAAGACTTAGTCGTACGAGAATTTAACGAGAAATTGTGACAAAATTTAAAATATTAAGAAAATGCCGATTTGTGAAATATGTGTAAACAATAATGCAAGATAAGTTGAATGACGTTTGTTTTTTGTTGCGTAAAAAAAATAATATTGAATTAAACGAAATTGTTCCATTGGTGGATGCACTATGCTTTCTCCCTTTTGTATTCATGTTAAAACTAGTGCAATTGCTTTGGACGCGTTTTGACCTTAATTCCGTTTAAAAAAAATGTTGCTTTTATTTTTTTAAGTGGCTCGAAGAAACAAAATAATAATAGATTTAACTAGACGTAGTTTTAAAATGGCAATAAAAGTAGCATTGCAAATATAGGCAGTTAACGTGATAGAGAGAGAGAATTACTGGTTTGATTGGCTCTGAAACGTGGGTGAGAAATATGGTCATAAAAGTGGAAACATAAATTCTAATTATAGAGGCGAAATTGTAATTATAGAGGCTTTGAAATTTTGCTGGAAAAGACATTCGCTTATTATCGTTCGAACGAAAAAAAATGTGTCTAATAAGTAAATAAAAACGGGAAATTGTAACTAGAAACGAGTTTCATGTTGTATAATTTCACAACAATTATAATACATTTGTTTAAAAATGTTTTTCCGTATAACTCCGTGTCCAGAATTGTCACGCAAAAAAACCATGTAATTGCGCAGTCGTTTAAAATCTATACGCGATAAATGCTTCGAATACAGCCCATGCGAGCCACGAAAACGAAAGTAAAAAGTGTTCTGAAATGAGTAAAAACTGCGGATTAAAAGGAGAAGCAGATATGAGCAGTCAGGTGCGATGGTCGGACGCGGCTGACGCGGGGGAAAGAAAGGCGTAAAAATCTGTGAGTAAAAGTGTGTAATTACGAACCGTGTCATTGTTTATTGTGGAGACGCCATGATGTTTGTGGTTCCGCGCGTCATTTGTTTGAACAGCGGGAGACAAAACAAAACTCGCTCAGATTACTGCTACTGCTGCAACTCTGCCGCACCGCACCGCCAATACGTGTGCGTCCGCGGTGCCCACACGCCGCGGCACAACGTATGCGTCAATATGCTCCACGCGCTGTACGTAAAGTCAAAAGTCTGAACGGAGAAAAATGCAAAAAAAAAAAAGGTGTAAAACTTAAGATGCGGGGGTTGTGTTTTTGAGAGATGGCCACGTCTTCTCACGGGGTTGTGATGTCACATGACGCACTTTAATGATATATAGCGATTGTTATTGAAGCCGTTTTGTTGTCTCCATACTTTTTAATCTTGTTTTGTGTCTACAGCGCTATACACTTTTTTTACACGTGGTTTTAATGCAAATTACAAATAATCTGAATAAAATCTGAATATAGATTTTTGTGCACAGATAATTCAGATAAGGTGCATCTGGAGAATAATCAGTGAGGATCCTGTTGTTTTCAGATTGACGCGTCTCTGTTCGCTTTTACGCGCGACACTATTTCGTCATTATTTTATTACATTTCAAAACCAAACACAAAAACAGTGCAATATTAAAATGCTGCATGCTTCACAGAGAGGCCAGTGTTTGGGATGTTGTGGTTGGTGCAATAACATCAGATCTAGAGTTTTATTGACGTCATTGTTGATAATATTGACCGGGCATTTTACGAGATTATTTTGTTGCCATTTTTTTCAATAAAATATCTAATTATGTCACATTTTGGGTTTTTCATGGATATTTTCTATGTTTAAAATCAGTAATATAATGAACACCCACTTTAAACACATACAGTGAAACACTTCTGATAACGTTTTATGGGAGTTTGGTTTTATATTCATAGCTGTTTGTTTGTTTGTTATTGTCTTTTGTATTGTCTGTGTGTTTCAAATTGGACCTAGAGTCTGTAATAAAGTTGAGTTGAATTAAATGATATACATCGGGGCCTTTAGAATGGGTTTAAATCCGATTTTTTTTTTGTTTAAAAGAAGGACATTTAATCAGTAGTTTTGCAGATGAATTGATTAATTATCTTTAAGGGGTGCTAAACCCACTTAGTCAATTTGCTTTTTGCACGAATTTTTTTTGCAACACAAACGCAAAAACTGAACAAAATGGGAAAGAGTCACGCTTCATATAGGCCAGTGTCCGTGTTGTGATTGGAGAATTAATATTATCTGATTATAGAGTTCTATTGACCTAAGTGTTGCTAACGTCTCATTATAAACCTGGTATTTTCACTTTGTTTCATTGACAGAACAGAGACCTGGGTCTACAGCCTCAGTCCTGGGTCTACAGCCTCAGTCCTGGGTCTACAGCCTCAGTCCTGGATCTACAGCCTCAGTCCTGGATCTACAGCCTCAGTCCTGGGTCTACAGCCTCAGTCCTGGGTCTACAGCCTCAGTCCTGGATCTACAGCCTCAGTCCTGGGTCTACAGCCTCAGTCCTGGATCTACAACCTCAGTCCTGGGTCTACAGCCTCAGTCCTGGGTCTACAGCCTCAGTCCTGGATCTACAGCCTCAGTCCTGGGTCTATATAGTCTCAGTCCTGGGTTTACAAGGGGGTCTCAGGAAATCTGATGATCCAGAATAATTATTATTAAAAGTAACTTTAAATAGAGGCCAGTAATGTTTGACTGGTGCAATAATAGTAAGTAAGTAAGTTTTATTTATATACCGCCTTTCACAGACCAGAGTCACAAAGCGGTTTACAATTGTTATTTTTTGGGCATCTGTCCTCTCACTCCACACAGAGATGGGAGCGGGGTCGCCGAACAATGGCGCATGCCAGACCTATTGTACATATTTTTAGTGGTAGGGGAAACCGGAGTACCCGGAGGAAACCTACGCAGACACAGGGAGAACATGCAAACTCCACTCAGAAAGGCCCTGGTCCAGCCGGGATTCGAACCCAGGACCTTCTTGCTGAGAGGCGAGAGTGCTATCCACTCAGCCACCGTGCAATAATATTGGCTCACATATCTGTTACTAACGGCGCAGGTGTTCACTTTTGAGCCGATTACAAAAAGCCGTATTTTAGCTGCAGATGTAATATTTGTTTGATTATAATCATTTGCTTCACGAGTGGAAACATAAGTATTTTCACTTTTACAAACGGAACAAAAACAGGTGAGATGTGGATTTTGTGAATTATTATTTAGAAATCATAATAATTTGTCTAATAAGACTTATATTGTTACAACAATAACTACAATGGTTAATAACATCTTCGTGTATATTGTCCGTGTGTTAATCTGGACTAAAATGTTTGTTATCATAGTGTTTTAATCGGATTGAGGCTGTAGTTAATTCCACTCTTTACGCACAGTGAATGTAAAAGCCTGGGGCCATGTTCTGGAACGAGGCCAAACGTGTTTTTGAGATTTTGCTGCAAAATAATGGAAAACAGAAACTCGGAGCTCGCGCTGAGACAGAGTGACATTTGGGAAACGCCGTCGCGGGGACATGTCACGCGGAGCGCGAGGTAAGACGATAATTAGCGTCAGGACGTGAGAACGCGCAGACTCAGAGAGACGTGAGTGCGAGGCCATTATTTCTGTCGTTTAAAGTCACTGCGTAAAAAAGACAAAAACTGCGCCCGTTTGGGAATAATGTGGATTACAATGTGTGGATTACAGTGGCACGAGGCTCGCACGTGAACAGAACAGAGAATCTGGAATAAAAGACGTTTCCCCCATTCATAAAAACAACACATTTAAAACATGAACCAGAGGCCAAACAGCACGAGCTCCAACTATCAGTGATGTCATGAGGCCCACGCGCGCTGCGGGATTATCGTGTTGTTGTGGACACAGAGGAAATCCTGTTTACACCAGAGACACCAGAAACACCAGGACCACCAGCTCAGATTCAAGTACGGACCCGGGACACCGGGACACCGGGACATGGACAGCGTGTCACCAACTGTTCGGACCAGAGTCCCCGCGGGGAGGAGGGGGTTAGTGGATCAGCGGGTTTGGGGCTGAGCCCTGGGTCTGGGTGAAGTAGTCACTGAGCCCCGTGGACAGCCCCGGGGACAGCCCGGTGAAGGGCCCGGACAGAGGCCTCAGAGAGTCACAAAGCGCAGGCGCTGACACCGGGGGCGCGTGCGTCTGCGGGGATACGGCGGTGGACACGCGGGACAGGGACACTGTGGGCGCGGAGCTCGTGGACGCGTGCGGGGCGTGTGGGAAGAAGTAGCTGGTCTGTCCCGCGAGGAGGCACGGGTTCAGCGGGTACGAGGACGAGCACGAGGCCGCGAGCGCCGCGGCTGTCAGGTGGTGCGTGGCGTACGGCAGGTCCGGACACGTGGCGGGGAACGGGGCCGTGGTGGGCGCAAGCATGCCTCCGATGCCTCCGTACGACATGGCGTGGTGCGCGTGGTACCCGGAAGAAGAGCCGTTATACCCGAAGTGTCCTGCACGCAGAAACGGGGACACGGGCCAGTACAGCGAGCCCGCGCGCTCCATGAACGTGAGTCCCGACGTCAGGCGCGCGCCCCGCTTGAAGGCCAGTTTGGCGCGTGACGTGGTGGAGCGCCGCCGCAGCTTTCCGGTGGTTCCGCCGATGAACACGTCGTCGCTGCTCGGGTCCAACATCCAGTAGTTGCCCTTCCCCGGGTCGTCATAGTGTCGCGGGACTTTCACGAAGCACTTGTTGAGGCTGAGGTTGTGGCGGATGGAGTTCTGCCAGCCCTGCTTGTTCTCGCGATAGTACGGGAAGTTCTTCATGATGAACTCGTAGATGCCGTTGAGCGTGAGGCGCTTCTCCGGGCTCTGGCGGATCGCCATCATGATGAGCGCGTTGTAGCTGAACGGAGGCTTCTCGTACTTCCCCTTCTTCTCCTCCTCCTTCTTCTCCGCTGGGTCCGCGTCCTTCTCCGCCTCCTGCTCCCGGGCCTCGGGCTTCAGCTCAGCGGGAGGAACAGCTGCTCTGCCCGGGCTCTGCTCGCGCTGCTCCCGGTCCTGGTCCTGGATCTGGTCCCGTAGCGGCTCCCGTAGAGGCTCCCGTAGAGGCTCCCGTAACGGCTCCCGTAGCGGCTCCCGTATAGGCTCCCGTAGAGGTTCCCGTAGAGGTTCCCGCAGTGACTCTCTCAGAGCCGCCTCTCGCGCCTCTCTCGCCTCGCGTGCCTCCCTCTCGTTCCGATCGCTGCGCGCGGCCTCCGGGAGCAGCGCGTTGATGGAGAACGAGGACTTCTGCAGCATCTTCAGGTCTCGGTCTCGGTCCCGCATCACGGAGCGGCGGCGGGGGACAGTGTGGATCTGACGCTGCTTCATTTGGCTTTGGGGCCGCGCGCACGGGCCGCGCGCACACGCACAGAGGCCGGAGCCGGGAGCGCGCAGCCAACCACTGCGCGAGGCAGGGTCACGTGGGAGGGGCGCAGCAGCCAATGGGAGCTCGCTCTCAGGCGCACGCACGTGCACAGACGCGCACGCGCGGCAGCGGTGTGTCTCTGCGGCAGAAGGCGCGTGGAGGTAAACATTTAAAAACATTATGTTCCCACGCACGCGCGCGGACTCCGCTGTGCGCGAGGAGGAAACAAGAACATTCCACTGAGATCAATAACAACAACAACAAACAACAACAAACACAACACTGAGCACGAGGCGCATCACGCACGGTTACACCTCACGCGTTACGTCATTTTGCTTAAGAAACATGTAGTAATTATCAAAACAAACCAGGACTCAGACCCAGACCGGGACCCTGCAGACCCATATCTACCAGGACCATGAATACTCAGGTCCAGACCCAGGTCTAGACCAGGACCCTGAAGACTAAGGTCCTGACCCATGTCTAGACCCTCCTAAAACGCGGGTCTAGACCAGGACCCTGAGGATTCAGGTCCAGGTGGACCCTGCAGACTCAGGTCCTGACCCATGTCTAGACCACCTTCAGACCCGGGTCTAGAGCCAAACCATGCAGACTCAGGAGCAGGAGTTCAAACGCGTGTGTCAAAGATGTCCATGTTCTAAGCCTTTCCCAAGCTGCGGCCCGCGTGCCTCTGAGGGTCTCTTTTATCCAAGGACGCGTGAAAACATTGTGTCATTTTTACTCATCAACAATTATTTTGTGTTTCATGTTTGTGTTCCTTTTCCCGTATGACTGAAGCTAATTAAACTCTAGGTCTTTATAACATATGTTTATTCTCTTATAAACAACACAGACATGTGCACGCGCTGCACGCTCATAAGAGCTGAGTAAATCATCTGCTGTGGTAATTCAGCTGTAAAGTCAATTCTGCAATCATGAGCAATATTGAAACTATAGAATGTAAAGGTAGTAAAACTTTAGAATGAAACTTAGAATTTAAAGGTATGGTAAAGGTGCACTTTACCATACCTAACATACATAACAATTGTAAACCGCTTTGAGACTCCGATGTGCAGTGAGTAAATAAAGATACTTACTACTTACTTACACTTTAATAATCCCCATAGGGCAATTCATCCTCTGCATTTGACCCATTAAGGCTTACGTCAGGAGCGGTGGTCGCCGTAGTAACAGCGCCCGGGAACCCATCACTTTACTTCACTGTACTGCTGTCACCTTACATTGTGTGCACCATGTGCACTTGTATATTGTAAATAGTAACTGTAACTCTATTTTAAATTTAAATTTATTCTTTAGAAGTGTTTTTTATTCTTATTTTTATTATCTCTTTTTGACTGTTGCACTGAGCCAAAGCAATTTCCAAGTCTGTGACCTCCCGTTACTTACGTTGGCAATAAAAATGATTCTGATTCTGATTCTGATTCTGATTCTGATCTCCAGATGTTGATGCTCGACCGGGTCAGGACTTTACCGTATTGGAGGATTTTACCTATTGTGCATGTTTTAAGTAGTAGGGGAAACCGGAGCACCCGGAAGAAACCTGCACAGGCACGGGGAGAACATGCAAACTCCACTCAGAAAGACCCTGTTCCGACCAGGGTTCAAACCCTGGACCTTCTTGCTGAGAAGCGGGAATGCTATTGCCCCCGGCCGCCCCACTGAATCTCAGTATACTTATTCCCTGCCATACAACATTGCAACATGACATAAAGCTTTAAGTGTTGGATTTTTTTTGTTTTTACTTTAAATTTTTGTAGCAATCGGTTACCCAAAACGGCCTTAGTAATGATAACTATAGTCCGGGTTTACAGAGAGAGATATTTTGAAAGATTGATATTGAAAATGTACAGCTAGCTTTGAAACATAGCAGCTACTTGTGTGCTCCCTGTGCTCTACCCTGTCCTGTCTGTGCGCTGCAATATTGACATTTCCCCACTGTGGGACAGATAAAGCATCTTTTATCTAATCTTCTCCTGTCTTCTAGTCCGTATATTGCAGTATAATTTTCCCTCGGTCCTCTGTGACGCACGCGCACTGCTCTCCCTGTGTTTACAACGCGAAGCCGGAGCTGTTTACATCCCGCGTGACACAAATAAACAACAGGGCGCGCGCACAAACACACAGAGAGAGAGAGAGAGAGAGCCCAGAGCCGTGAGTCTTGTTCGTGTTAAAACAATAATACATAAATGATAGGGATTATTATGTATAGTAGAAAACCGAGGGGATTTATATCTTTAATGTTTTAAACAGTGCATGGGAGACGTAGCAGGTGTGTGCTTCTAAATGTTCTTTATGTGTCCTTTAATATTATGCAAATTACTTGTGCAAGTATTCAGGATGCTGTGCTCTGATTGAACCGTGATCAAGACATTACATCTGAATTATGTCTATTATTCAAACTATAAGAAATAGCTTTTGAGACTACGTTGAATTTGTTGTGTTTGTGTAAAGAACTAAAACAAGCGGTGTTGGAGGACTTTAAAAAGTTGAGGATTTGCCAACAACAGATCAGAAATTCAAACTTTTTTGAAAACAGGAAAATTGATCCATAGGCAATGTCCTAGACCATGTCCTGAGACTAGGCTATAGATCCAGGACTGAGGCTGTAGATCCAGGACTGAGGCTATAGATCCAGGACTGAGGCTGTAGACCCAGGACTGAGGCTATAGATCCAGGACTGAGGCTGTAGACCCAGGACTGAGGCTATAGATCCAGGACTGAGGCTGTAGATCCAGGACTGAGGCTGTAGACCCAGGACTGAGGCTATAGATCCAGGACTGAGGCTGTAGATCCAGGACTGAGGCTATAGATCCAGGACTGAGGCTGTAGACCCAGGACTGAGGCTATAGATCCAGGACTGAGGCTATAGATCCAGGACTGAGGCTGTAGACCCAGGACTGAGGCTGTAGATCCAGGACTGAGGCTGTAGATCCAGGACTGAGGCTATAGATCCAGGACTGAGGCTGTAGATCCAGGACTGAGGCTATAGATCCAGGACTGAGGCTATAGATCCAGGACTGAGGCTGTAGATCCAGGACTGAGGCTATAGATCCAGGACTGAGGCAGATCCAGGACTGAGGCCTGTGAATGCTAACAGTTATCAATGTTATTATTAACTTTGTTTCTCTTTTAATTCAGAGCGAGACCAAGACCGAACCAGTGGAAGACTTGAAGGCGAAAATTTGACGTAATAATACACCACGGAACCATGGAACCAAGCTTTTTCATTTTAACAATAAAAGATGTTTGAAATCCTGAATGGAATGAACTGTGATTAAATCCACGCTCCACTAGCTCACACTTTCACTCAAACCAATAATATGTAATAATGTCGTTCCGCTGCGTGCTTTCACCCATTTGCATTTGTGCTCTCGGGAATGCGCGCTCCAGCTCCAGTTTATACATGCATTAAGTATATCTGGGATGTATATGTCTCTCCTTATTTGCACCACATATAGTATTGTATAGTGCGTTCCCAAGTCTTTCCTTCCAATTCTGCTCCTGTTTTCAAACGGCCCCAACTCATTTTTATGTTTTTAATTCTAATTTTTATTTTGATATTTACCTGAAAAAACATGTTGTTCTGACTCATTTCTATACACACACGAGAAACATATATATATATATATATATATATATATATATATACATATACATATATATATATACATACATACACACACAATACCCCCGGACGTAAACGCATAATACGTGATAAATACTATAATTATGAGCTGGTTTTGCATATGTGTGTGTGTGTGTGTGTGTGTGTGTGTGTGTGTGTGTGTGTGTGTGTGTGTGTGTGTGTGTGTGTGTGTGTGTGTGTGTGTGTGTGTGTGTGTGTGTGTGTGTGTGTGTGTGTGTGTGTGTGCTGAAATCTTTGGCTGGAGCTGATGCGCGCTAACAGGTGAGCTCGCCTTGTTCAGCTGTTTTCTCCTTTGTCCCTTCACTCCCGCCTTCCTCTCCCCCTCCACTAACTATACGCTTTCTTCCTCCTTTTATTTGCGCCTAAATATTCAGTCCCGTTCTCCCCATGGGCACCTATAGACGCACGTCCATTACGCACATGTTGGAAACGTGGTTATTCCTTCCAATATATCCACGATCCCGCGATGTTTTGTGTTGCTTTCCTTCAGCGCGTGACCCAGAGACGAGAAAACACAAGAGGTATAATTGTAACTCCCATAAATATTTAGAGAAAATATTGTTTTTTGCCCATTATCACTGTTTTAATTGCATAAACAACAGTTCGCGTTACTTGCTTTCTTGGGGAAGGCGGGGGATTTCAAATGTCAAGTTTTTTTCCCCTCATATTTGAAATTGATTTATTTATTTTAAGACATTCATTTATTCCATTCAACAAAAGCAGTGGAGAAATATGAGAAACTCAATTCAGCGAAAGGATTTTATTGTCTACAATTCGATATACATTTATAAACACAACCATTTTTAAATGACTAAATAAAGATTGTAAAATACATGGTGCAATATTATTACTAATTATTCTCCCGTTACTGTGAGACACATGTGTGATAATATGGAACAGCCTTTAGGAGGAGGGTCTTTGTGGTCCTCCGCTCCCTCTGGACCCATGTGTTTGTTATTATTAGATTATGTTTTAGAACTGTTTGATTCTCTGATCTGTTGTTGGTGAATCCATAACTTTGTGAAGTCCTCGGGGACGACTGCTGCTGCTGTGATTTAGAGCGACACAATTGAGTTGAATTAATGCAATAATGCAATGATGTTAGAAAAAAATAAAAGTATAAAAAGATTCAGAAATAGATTTGTGTATGCTCCATACAAACACAGGCCATATACAGGTAATGTACTAAAATGCGTTTCCAGATGTTTGTAATTTAAACAGTGCCAACAAAGACAAACGTGCGAGTTTACTCAAACCATGGGCCTCAAAGGAATATGGTCAAAAAGTGATACATGACTCGCTATAACAGGGCCATATGAATGTAGGGTCTGCACGGGCCTGGACTCTGGTTCTAAAGCTCACTAAACTTAAACACAGAAGAAGAATTTGCTTCACACATTGATATAAAATAATGTTACGCGCTATTTTAAATTATATTGAATAAATGAGAGATTGCATCACAGCAAAAACCTAAGATTGTTGGTTTGAAAGCTACAAAATAATATAAATTACATATTATTGTGCACATATAAGGTTCAATTATAATAAAGTTACAAAGCGTAGAAGAAGAGAAAAAACGGACTTTTAAAGGTTTTGAATTGGAAGTCTGTAAAAATACACCACGACATCTGTCCGCAAACTCTCACCTTAAAAACAGTTTCAAAGATCAATAAATGTTAAAACGCTGTGATTTAAGTGAAACACGTTCCCGAGAAGAATGAAAGGAAAATCCATCGGAAGTCCGCGCACAAAGCAACAACACGAAGAGGAGAAATGTGATCCGTGAGCAGCGGGAGGAGCAGGGGGACGCAGCCCGGGGGAGGAGCGCTTTGTCCGGGTACAGCGCGCGTAATGAGCCGCTGAAATGTGACGGAGAACAAGGAGTTTAGCGAAGGGGAAAAACCAGGCTTTAGGATCCGTGTTCGGAGCGGTGTGAGCAGGGGCGGCGGCGAGCAAAAGGGGGGTTTGGAGCAGGGAAAGGAAACAGGTCCCCATAATGTTTAGTGAATTAGATTTGTTTTCTGTTATGATTGTGTTTTTTGTCCATCACAGTGGACAGGAACGTGCTGATATAAAATATTCTAAATACATTTCAGACTTTATGGCCGCTGAAGTCGCAACGCTGTGTGAGAGAGAGAGAGAGAGAGAGAGTGAGAGAATCTTTTCCCATGGACTAAGGTTGTGAGTCTGTCTCCCCTTTCTCACATTTAAATGTTGAGGTTTGAGTGTAATTTTTAACGTTAAAAAAATCGGATGTTCCATACTATGCCATTGATGATTATCTGCCTCCAGAAGTGTCGCCATATTACAACATGAACCTCAATCAGCGGTGAGTTTTGACTTTTGGATGTGCAACCGAAGGACAAATACTACTGCTACTACCGATACTACTGCTGCTGCTGCTACTGCTGCTGCAGCAACTGTTATAGCTAGGAACTAATAGTGACACAATATTTATTGTTTTATTAATGTGATTTGTAAACGTAAGTAAGTAATCTTTTTTACGGCCTTTCACAGACCAGAGTCACAAAGCGGTTTACAATTGTGGGCATTTGTTTCCCACTCCTCATGAGCTGAGTCACTAGAACAGGAGGCACATACCAGACCTATTGTACATATTTTTAGTGGTATGGGAAACTGGAGCAGCCGGAGGAAACCAGGCCCTGAGTAGAGTTCAAGGTCTTTCTGAACTCAGAAAGGCCCTGCTCCATTCGAACCAAGAACCCAGGACCTTGTTGCTGAGAAGCGAGAGTGCTATCCACTCAGCCACCGTGCCGCCCATTCGACTATAGTGTTTGAAGTATGTGGCCCCGGGTACATTAAAGACCAGACGAGGCCTGAACCATGAGCAAGGTCTGAGCAAGGTCTGAGCAAGGTCTGAGCAAGGTCTGAGCGGGCATGCATGGTTGGAGTTCCGCGAGGCCAGCGGGGGTCTCTCTGCAGGTATGCCGGAAAAGGCGTCACTGTAGCGGCGTGGGTCCCTGGGTCCAGTCGCTCTTGTTGTAAAGTGTAGGATTAGCGCTGGTTTGGAGACTCCCGCTGGTGTGTTTGTGTTTACGGCGCTCAAGAGAGAGAACAAAGCTCTCATTCTGTTTAAGGGCCGCAAAGCGACCAGAGAGAGAGACCAGAGAGAGAGACCAGAGAGAGAGACCAGAGAGAGACTGGCAAGAGACCTGAGAGAGACCAGAAAGAGACAAGAGACTAGAGAGACCAGGGACATCCAAGGGAGACCATAGCGAGACCAGAGAGAGAGACCAGAGAGAGAGACCAGAGAGAGACACCAGAGCAAGAGACCAGAGAGGGAGACCACAGAGAGAGAAACCAGAGAGAGACCAGAGAGAGAGACCGGGGAGAGACCAGAGAGAGAGACCAGAAGGAGAGAGACCAGGGTGAGACCAGAGACAAACCAGAGACCAGGGAGAGACCGCAGAGACCAGAGAGAGACTAGAGAAAGACCAAAGAGAGAGAGACCTGCGAGAGACCACGAGGCCAGCGGGGGTCTCTCTGCAGGTATACCGGAAAAGGCGTCTCTTTTACGGCGTCGGTCTCCGGATCGAGTCGTTCTTGTGGCGGTTGTAAAGTGTTGGATTAGCGCTGGTTTAGAGACTCCCGCTGGTGTGTTTGTGTTTACGGCGCTTAAGCCTCGGAATCCCGGGGGAGGAGAGGGAGAGAGCACGGGGGAGGAGAGGGAGAGAAGCCGGGGAAGGTGCAGGCAGAGCAGGGAGATGAGACGAGCTCATCCGCTGTCACACGCAGAGAGCCGGGCGCTTGGGGAGAGTCAGCGGTGGGTGTTTGTGATGCGACCTATCACAGCTGATACAACAATTTAATCTGAAGGGAATTAATGAAAATATTGATATAAACATTTTATTGACTGCATGAGAAATGAGCTGAAGCTTATTGGTGAGCCTGGTTTGTGTCACATACATATTTGTGTCATCTTTTCCAAGAAGCATGGGTTACCTAATTTTTAAAGTACAAAATAAATGACCAGTGTTCACCTGAGTGTAGCCATTTGGCCTCTGTTACATCTTTAGACAAGCTTTTTCAGAAAAAAGTTAGTGTCTCAGCCCTGATCTACAGCCTCAGTCCTGGATCTACAGCCTCAGTCCTGGATCTACAGCCTCAGTCCTGGATCTACCTCAGTCCTGGATCTACAGCCTCAGTCCTGGATCTGCCTCAGTCCTGCAAAGCCAGTCCTGATCTACATCCTCCCAGTGCGGTGCATGCTGGGATCATCAAGCGTGAGACAATCATCTCTTGTTTATTGTTTTTATTTACACTTGTTGGGAGCTCCGTGTCACGCGCAGGGCGAACGTGAGCAGGCAGCAGGAGCGCGCACGGGCCTCTGCACGCGGGAGACAGCTGTGCCACAACACTGGGCAGATGTGGCGACGTGTGAGAGAGGACGGCGGTGATTGAAATATAATTGTTTTGTTTTTTTCCTTTTAAATATATAGGCCTATGTTAGTTTTATGACTCTGACTCCCAGGGACTGGCCTCCTGCTGGTCCCAGAGTCAGGACTAAATGAGGAGGCAGCATTTTAGATTTATGCAGCTTAAGTCTAAAGTCTTCCTGAGAATGTGAGACAGGCTAAAACTGAGAAATCTTTACTCCTTTTCAGGTACTGTGATTATTTATGATCATTATAGTTTATTTTCTTGTTTTGAGTCGCCTTGTACTTAAACTGTGCTACACAAATAAGTCTCACTGCTGATACGGCTCATCCAAGAAATCAAAAAACAATAATATTTTAGAGCCTGTAATCAGAAGCTCTAAAATCCCAACACATTTTGACCACAAATGTTCGGTTTTATTTAATAAACTACTGATTATTGCACTGTCCGTTTGCAACTGTAAAAACAACACACGAAAACATACAGAAATAAAAAATAAATAATGAATATTCAGCTGTACAGAATTCAAACAATTAATATCTCTGTTATTTATGTCATATGTTTTATATTTCAACCGGAAAAAACTCAATTTGCTCAGATGGGAGCAAATTGGGAACTGTTTGAAGATGGAACTAAACCAGGTTTGACAATTATTGTGGATTTTAAAGTTAGGCCCCTGCTTTTAAATGAAGAACAAATAAACCACTTTGAGAGAGTGGATTTTACATATAGCTCAATTTTATGGCTTTAAATGTAGGTACCAAAGCTTTAAATAGAGACAGGAAAACTTGGACATCGCTATTGACAGTTGATTCTTGTGCTTTAAAGTCAGGTACCCCATCTTTAAATCGATACACAACCAAACTTCGTTGAGAAAGTGTATTTTAAATAAAGCTCAATTCTCATGGCTTTGACTTTAGGTGCCCGAGCTTTAAATAGTGATAGATATAGGACTAGGACTTGGCATTTATAAGGAGCTCAATCTGGTCGCGTTTGAAAAAAAAAAAGTTGTAATTCCCAGAACTGCATCATGGGAACCTCCAGTTTATTGTGTTGTTATTTATCTTTCGCGCCTTTCTGTTGCAGAGAAACTTCCAGTATTTGTCCTTTTCTCTCTCTGTTCTCTCGCGTCTATAGCGGAGTCTGTCGCTGGAGGCCATGAGTGTTCGGAGGTGTCGGATGGGGGAGAGTGGGGGAGAGTGGGGGGTGAGTGCATGGGGCCTTCTCTGCCTCTGCCTGATGCGCCCTGGTCCCGGTCTTTAGAAGGGCTTAGACGGCTTTGTGGGATTAGAGCGACAGTCCTGGCCTAATTGGTGCTGGTTGGTCTTTTCCATAGGCCTCCAATCACGGACCGCGCGTGCACAGCGACCCTCTCCACTAAAGGAAGAGAATTCGCTTATAAAAATAAAAAAAACAGACCACCGCCTCTTATATCTGTGGATACATCTTTACGCGCGAGATTTGTCCATAATGCAGAGACCTGTTGGAGATGGGTCTGAGAGACGTGTGTGAAAGATCAAGATTTCGGAAGTGACCTCGACCCCAGGATCAAACGCGGGCTCAAATCCGGACTTAAACAAAGCCTGGACCATGGCCTCAGGATGACAGAGACTGCAGGTTCCCCACCGCGATGGGAAGTGGGCGAGCGTGATCCGCGGACACGTCTCTCACACACAGGACAGATAACATAAAAATACTCATATAAATAAATAAATAAAAGTCTTATTTTTTCCCCCGTTGAAGCCCAGTTGGCACAGGTCAGAGGCCCAATCTGACTACACAACACGTAGGGGACGCTCTCTTTGGTTTCTCAGGTCTGCATGGTCTCTCTCCCTGACCTCTCTCTGGTCTCTCTCCCTGCCTCAAGGTCTCCCTCTCTGGTCTCTCTCTGCTGTACCATCACATCTAAAATCAGTTCCTTCTTTAGTTCCTTCTTTAGTTCCTTCTTAAAACAGTTTATCTATCACTGAGCGTGTTTTTGGTCTCTGTCACATCTTAAGATCAGATTTTTCAGACCAAAATATTAAAAAGAGAGGACCACCCACACTCAGCCAATCAGCTCAACGCGTCAAATATCGACTCACAGGACTCTTTTTCTTGTGTGTACAATTCTCTTCCTGAGGTAAAAAGTATTATTATAGGATTGAATGAGAGTCCTGCGTCAGTCTCTGTGAGAAAGGCACCTGGAAACATGCAAAGGATCAGTGGACACAGAGGATCAGTGGAGCAGCAGCGACCCCACGTGGACGAAGCGGGAAAAATGACTAAAAATGACAATAAACGCGGCTGCAAGGAATTCAATGAAGAAAAAAAATGAATAAATCTTGTAACTGGTTGCGTTCATGTGACATCAGCAGGATCCAAAGCTCAAGAGTCAAATTCTCTCAAAGATCATTTCTCTGTGATCTCTGAAACAATCCACATGAAACAAAAACTGTTTCAAAACAAAGTTCCACATCTTGTCTGCACATGTCAACGATGGTCTCGTTATATTCTCTTTCTACTCTGGTGTCGCTCTTTCTCTGTGGTCTCTCTCTCTCTCTGGTCTCTCTCTCTGCATGTGGTCTCAATCAATCAATCAATCAACGTTTATTTGTAGAGCGCCTTTCCTACACAAGGCAACGCAAAGCGCTTCGCATCCCCTATCACATCATGCATAAATCAAACACATTAAGAGCACAAGATATATTAAAAACATTAAAAATAAAATCACAAAAATTAAAAACCTTTAAACATTAAAATCATAGATGGGACTAAAATCATAAATAGTCACAGTGCATTAAAAAGATTAAAGATAAAAACAAAGATGAAAAGATAAAATCATTCAGTTGTATATGCGCAGCTAAACAGAATTGTTTTGAGCCTAGATTTAAAAGATGCCAGAGTAGACGCCTGTCTCACATTCTCAGGAAGACGGTTCCAGACTCTAGCCGCATGAATCTGAAATGCAGTTTGCCCATGTCTAGTACCGACTCTGGGCACTAACAGGAGTCCAGTCCCTGTGCTCCTCAGAGTCCGGGCTGGTTCATATGGCACAAACATGTCATGGATGTACCTTGGCGCAGAGAGAGAGAGAGGTACCTTGGTCTCTCTCTCTGGTCTCTCTCTGTGGTCTCTCTCTCTGTGGTCTCTCTCTCTGTGGTCTCTCTCTCTGTGGTCTCTCTCTCTGTGGTCTCTCTCTCTGTGGTCTCTCTCTCTCTGTTCTCTCTCTCTCTGTTCTCTCTCTCTCTGTTCTCTCTCTGTGGTCTCTCTCTCTGGTCTCTCTCTCTCTGGTGTCTCTCTCTCTCTGGTGTCTCTCTCTCTCTCTCTGTGGTCTCTCTCTCTGTGGTCTCTCTCTCTCTGTGGTCTCTCTCTCTCTGTTCTCTCTCTGTGGTCTCTCTCTCTGTGGTCTCTCTCTCTCTGTGGTCTCTCTCTCTCTGTTCTCTCTCTGTTCTCTCTCTGTGGTCTCTCTCTCTGTGGTCTCTCTGGTCTGTCTCTAATCACACTTTCTCTCTCTTGTATCAGTAAATCATTAAAAAAAGATAAAACACAATATCAAATATTTTATTTATAAAAGTTTTGGAACAAGTTTGAATAAATCTGGAAATGGGAGATTTATGTTTGATTTCAGTGTTTTTTTCTGATTTTCAGTGTTTTACATATTTCTTAATAAAATCTTGAAATCGCTAAAGACACATATTATATTAGATCAAAACCACAATGATTACACTTATGCTTTTGTTGTGAAGTAGACCCCTGTATATACTTTTATGAACCTATAAACACCTACATGTACCTATGTTGTCCAAAGGCTCAGGATCCACATGTTGAGAACCAGTGTTTAGTCTCCGCTTTAGTCCTGGTTCAGTCCTTGTTCAGTCCTTGTTCAGTCCTTGTTCAGTCCTTGTTCAGTCCTTGTTCAGTCCTTGATCAGTCCTTGATCAGTCCTTCTTTAGACCTGGCTCAGTCCTTGTTCAGTCCTTGTTTAGACCTGGCTCAGTCCTCATTTCCTGAAGAGGCGGCGCAGCACACTGATGCGAGGGCGCTCCCTGCTGGCCTCTTCAGAAGCTGCAGGTTTAGACTCTGGGTCTGGAGCTGTGGGTCCTGCGGAGACCCAGACCAAGTTTATTCACGCTTTCACTCAAAATATAAATAAAACAGAAACATGTGTTTATGCATCTCTGGCCTGATCTAAAGATGTGACAGAGAGGACCACCCTCACTCAGCCAATGAGCTCTCAGCGCCCCCGAGTGTCACATTTGTGTCAAAAGAGAGAATCCACAGAGGCCAAACAAACGCGATGGGAAACTAGAGATAGAAGCAGAACTAGGGATATGGGTTTTATTAGAGTTCTATTGTCCTGGGTTGAAAGTTACTGAACTTGAGAAGGCGGGAAACAGAGCTTAACCATCTCTATGGCTCGGGTCTCTCCCAGGTCTCTCTTTGGTCTCTCTCTCTGGTCTCTCTTTGGTCTCTCTCTCTGGTCTCTCTCTCTGGTCTCTCTCTGGTCTCTCTCTGGTCTCTCTCTGGTCTCTCTCTGGTCTCTCTCTGGTCTCTCTCTGGTCTCTCTCTGGTCTCTCTCTGGTCTCTCTCTGGTCTCTCTCTCTGGTCTCTCTCTCTGGTCTCTCTCTCTGGTCTCTCTCTCTGGTCTCTCTCTCTGGTCTCTCTCTGGTCTCTTGCTCTGTTTTCTCTGGTCTCTCTCTCTGGTCTCTCTCTCTGGTCTCTCTCTCTGGTCTCTCTCTCTGGTCTCTCTCTGGTCTCTCTCTCTGGTCTCTCTCTCTGGTCTCTCTCTGGTCTCTCTCTGGTCTCTCTCTGGTCTCTCTCTGGTCTCTTGCTCTGTTTTCTCTGGTCTCTCTATGGTATCTCTCTCTGGTCTCTCTCTGGTCTCTCTCTGGTCTCTCTCTGGTCTCTCTCTGGTCTCTCTCTGGTCTCTCTCTGGTCTCTTGCTCTGTTTTCTCTGGTCTCTCTCTGGTCTCTCTCCCTGGTCTCTCTCCCTGGTCTCTCTCTCTGGTCTCTCTCCCTGGTCTCTCTCCCTGGTCTCTCTCTCTGGTCTCTCTCTGGTCTCTCTCTGTTCTGCCTCGATAATAAAAAGGTACCTTCGCTGGTGGAGTTGTATCGGTGCCGGTTGTAGTAGGTGTGGGGAGGTTTTGGGGGAGGACTGGACGGTGGCTCTAGCTCCTCCTGCTCTGGTGCTTCAGGTGTGGTCTCGCTGCTCTCAATGATCTCTCTGGTCTCAGGTCTCTGGTCTGGTCCCTCCTTAGACCCCGTGTCCTCGGTCTCTGTGGCGTCGCTGAGTTTCTCCAGACTCACGTTGACTGAAGAGGCCCTCCTGAACCAGGGACAAACACACTTCTCTCAACGACAGATGGTTTGATACCAAAAAACAAAACAGAAATACTAGCCCTGTTTCCATCAGCTCTTCTACTCTACTCTACTCTACTCTACTCTACTTCATCCTACTCCACCCTACTTTACTCCACCCAACCCTACTCTACTCTATGCAACCTACCCTACCCTACTCCACTGTACTCCACCCTACCCTAAGCTACTCTGCTCTGCTCCAACCTGCCCTACTCTACCCTATACTACTCTACTCTACCCTACTCTTCTCTACCCTACTCTTCTCTACCCTACTCCACCCTACCCTAAGCTACTCTGCTCCAACCTGCCCTACTCTACCCTATACTACTCTACTCTTCTCTACTCTACCCTACTCTTCTCTACCCTACTCTACTCTACTCTGCTCTACACTACACTACACTACCCTACCCTACTCTACTCTACTCTACTTCATCCTACTCCACCCTACTTTACTCCACCCAACCCTACACTACTCTATGCAACCTACCCTACCCTACTCTATCCTTCTCTACCCTACTCTACTCTAACCTACCCTACTCTACCCTACCCTACTCTGCTGCAACCTACCCTACCCTACACCACTGTACTCCACCCTACCCTACCCCACTCTACTCCAACCTACCCTACCCTATGCTACTCTACTCTACTCTTCTCTACTCTACTCTTCTGCAACCTACCATACCGTACCCCACTGTACTACTCTACTCTGCTCTACTCTACCCTTCTCTACTCTACCCTACTCTTCTCTACTCTGCTCTACTCTACTCTACCCTTCTCTACTCTACCCTACTCTTCTCTACTCTGCTCTACTCTACTCTACTCTACTCTTCTACCCTACTCTACCCTAGTCTACATATTAAAGAAAAACCTCCCCACAACAAGAGAGAAAAGAACATTCTACTCAGCCTTTAATCTCTGTTGCCTCCAGAAGCTGTTCTTCCGGTACTCTCCCATTTTATACACCCTCCACCTCCTCATCCACCCATCCACAGCATGATGCTACCATCCCCCTCCCTCCATCAGGTCTGACTCTCCTCTGGGTCTGTTACAGCTACTCCCACTCACCCAGAGTCTTCAGAGTTCGAGTCAGAGTCCTGGTTCTGCAGCCTCCGGATCCACAGATGCTGCAGGTCTTTGGTGAGAGCTGCAAACAGGTACTGAGAACCGTCCTCCAGCCTGAGGACCAGAACAGGAAGAGGACCAAACTTTTTATAAACTTTACGATCTCACAGGTACTGACCAGAGAGAGAGAGCGTAGGGAGAGAGAGTAGGGATAGCAGATAGAGCAGAGAGAGATCAGAGAGATCGAAGAGGGAGAAACACCAGAGAGAGAGAGAGAGACTCACGCCAGTTTGAAAGTGTGGTCTTTGCGGCGGTAGAAGACGTTCTCTCTGCACAGGGCTCCTCTCAGGCTGATGGGGGGCCACCTAGAGGTCCCCTGTGGAAGCGCATTCACCACTGTCACCATTACTGCACTACATTCAAATATCTATAGATAAAGATAAACAGAAGGAGACACAGGTCCAAGACTAAAGGCCCAAACCCACTGGTCACTGCCATCTTATATGATCACCTTAGGAGCGCAGCGGTACCAGAGAAAGAGAGAGACCAGAGAGAGAACAGAGAGAGACGAAAGAAATAGAATTGAGAGACCAGAGAGAGAGAACAGGGAGAGCTCAGAAAGAGAGAACAGAGAGAGATGAAAGAAATAGACCAGCGACCAGAGAGAGAGAACGGGGAGTGACCAGAGAGAGACCAGAAAGAGAGTAAAAATAGACAAAGTGCATGTCTTAAAATTAGTGATATATGCATAAGTGCACACAAAGTACACATTAGAGCAGTGTACAAAAGACAGAGTCACAATCAGAACATGTGGTTGACTCTCTCTCACATCCTTCTGATCTAAAACAGTGGTTACTTTAGACGCAGCTGCCCTGTCGTGGAACAGTCTCAGGACGTCAGCCTCCAGGACGGCAAACACCTCCTCCCAGTGATCCACCTGCAGACAGAGTGTGACATCACAAACACGGACCCATCTGTGCAGTCGTCCCACAGTGGGGGAATTGTTAGCTGACTGTGAGCTGAGAGACCAGAGAGAGATCCCTGGTCCCTCTTGGGTCTCTCTTGGGTCACTGTCTGGTCTCTCTCGGGTCTCTCTCTGGTCTTTCTCTGGTCTCTCTCGAGTCTCTCTCCGGTCTCTCTCTGGTCTTTCTCTGGTCTCTCTCTGGTCTCTCTCGGGTCTCTCTCCGGTCTCTCTCCGGTCTCTCTCCGGTCTCTCTCTAGTCTCACCTTGGTTCCTCCTTGTTTGAGTTTGATCTCTAGAGTCCCCTGCATCCTTACGTTCTGCCCATAGTTCTCCTACAACAGACAGATTTAGAAATGTATTATTGTCATACAAGGTAGCCAGATGAAAGCTGTGGTACCTAACTTTGAAATCACAATTTTTATAATAAATTTAGGGAAGAGAAGTAATTGAAAAACAAACTTGTCAATTGCAAATCTGAGAGAAATCAATCACAATAATCTCAAAGAAATGCATTCTTCATTAAAAAAGTGTTAACCTATCAATTCAATTCATTGTATTGTGTATCGCCCCAAATCACAACATTAGCTGTTAGGTTTAGGAGTCAAAGGACACAGGGAGTACAGGGACACAGGAGGAGTACAGGGAGAACAGAGACACAGGGGGAGTACAGAGACACAGAGAGGAATTGAGGGAGGAGTTTATGATAATATTTAGGAACAGATTAACACAGAGGCTTTGGGACAGGTACATTACACTCACCACTGCTATCTCTCCTGGAGGAGGACTGTCCAATCTCCTCTTCGATTCCTGAATATGGGAAGAATCCTGCTCAGACTTAGCAGTTAATTCTTCTTTAATGGAAGGAGGCGCAGGGGGAGCCACGGACGGAGGAGTGAGACCTCTGACCACTTTCTCAGACTGTTGGGTGGACACTTCTGGCTTCAGACAAGGTTTCGGAGCCAGAGCAGGCTTGACTTTGGTCTCAGTGGGCGATCCGGGACTTTTGGGAGTAGGAGGCATAGCTGACTTTTCCCTGGAGTCAAACTCGGAGCTCTGAAATCGTCCAGAACGTGGTTTAACTTTGGGCATCTCTCTTTTCTCTATTTCTGGTCTCTTTCTGGTCTCTTTTTCTGGCTCCTCTCTTGTCTCTCTCTCAGGCCTCTCTCTAGTCTCTCTCTCAGGCCTCTCTCTAGTCTCTCTCTCAGGCCTCTCTCTAGTCTCTCTCTCAGGCCTCTCTCTAGTCTCTCTCTCAGGCCTCTCTCTAGTCTCTCTCTCTGGCCTCTCTCTAGTCTCTGGCCTCTCTCTAGTCTCTCTCTCTGGCCTCTCTCTAGTCTCTGTCTCAGGCCTCTCTCTAGTCTCTGTCTCAGGCCTCTCTCTAGTCTCTCTCTCAGGCCTCTCTCTAGTCTCTCTCTCAGGCCTCTCTCTAGTCTCTCTCTCAGGCCTCTCTCTAGTCTCTCTCTCAGGCCTCTCTCTAGTCTCTCTCTCTGGCCTCTCTCTAGTCTCTGGCCTCTCTCTAGTCTCTGTTTCAGGCCTCTCTCTAGTCTCTGTCTCAGGCCTCTCTCTAGTCTCTCTCTCAGGCCTCTCTTTAGTCTCTCTCTCTGGCCTCTCTCTAGTCTCTGGCCTCTCTCTAGTCTCTCTCTCTGGCCTCTCTCTAGTCTCTGTCTCAGGCCTCTCTCTAGTCTCTGTCTCAGGCCTCTCTCTAGTCTCTCTCTCAGGCCTCTCTCTAGTCTCTCTCTCTGGCCTCTCTCTAGTCTCTGGCCTCTCTCTAGTCTCTCTCTCTGGCCTCTCTCTAGTCTCTGTCTCAGGCCTCTCTCTAGTCTCTCTCTCTGGCCTCTCTCTAGTCTCTGTCTCAGGCCTCTCTCTAGTCTCTCTCTCTGGCCTCTCTCTAGTCTCTGTCTCAGGCCTCTCTCTAGTCTCTCTCTCTGGTCTCTCGCGGGTCTCTCTCTTTTGTCTCACACAGACTTCTTTATGGGACTCTTGCGGAGGTGACATTGCTTTCTCTTCTAGTGGTTGGGATTTGAGATGGATTTGAGATGTCTCTGTTGCCTGTAGACCTCTGTGCAACAGAAGCTCTCTCGATTTGAAGATAGTCGATGAAAGAGATGATTCTAGAGGTTTGGGTGAATCTCCCTCTGTGGTATCTTCCCTGGAGTTTGATTTTGAGCTTCTGAAACGATCCATCCGCAATTCAGCTTTTGCTAAGTCCTCACCTTCGTCTGATGAAGACATTAGAGACTTGTCACGTGTCGACCGGTTCTCTTTGCTAGCACTGAATTGTGATCTCCGATATCGATCCATCTGTGATTTATCCTTGGGTTTGGGTTTCTCCTCCTCCTCCTCCTCCTCCTTTTCCAACATTCTCACAGCTGGAGCAGTCTTAAGAGCTCTGGATTTTGAGCTAGAGAATGCGACAATGGAAGTATCCAGCTGCTTCGATGACATTTGCCGTGTGTAATCATCACTGGTGTCATATTTCAAGCTTCCAAACCTTCGAACGTATGATCCCGCCGTGGACTTCCCCTCATCTTCTTCTGACGAGGATTTTTCTCTACGCGATGCACGCTCGACTGATTTGGTACGAAATTCTGAGGATGACAATAGCTTGGAAGACTCCTGATGGGTTTCAAATGCATTTTCTAGTTCAGACTTGGCACTGGAATTGTATTTTGAGTATCTAGCATCACTAACATGTGGTTTTGTTGTTGTTTTATCACTTCGGCCGTCTTTGAGTGACTCAGACAGAGCTGTGTTCTTGACGTTCCTATCCATAAATCTGCCGTGAGTACTGGTGGCAGCCTTTCGTGTCTCCTCTTCCTCGCTGTGGTCAGACACAGAGCCTGTGGGGAGGTCTTGGAGGAATGAGCGAGGCTTTGCGGAGGAGGTTTGGTCGGACAGAGTGGAGGTCTGGATGTTTCTGAAGGTGGAGCTGGGTCTGAGTCTGGAGTCTGACGGTTTTCTCGTGAGCGACGAGACTCTGGCTGGAGCAATTCTATCCGGGACGTCCAGGAGACGCTTCTCTCTCTGTACAAAAAAAGAGCGATAGTGTGTTGCATAATACTCGATAATAACGATTTCTTAGAGCTGAGAGCTTTAAGAAGATTGGTATGGGAAAGGTGTATGGGAGGATTTTCCCACTTTTTAGGAAAAACGTTTGCGAGAGACCAGGGAGAGACCAGAGAGAGACCAGAGAGAGACCAGAGAGAGACTAGAGCGACCAGGGAGAGACAAAAGAGAGACCAGGGAGAGACCAGAGAGAGACTAGAGAGAGACTAGAGAGAGACCAGAGAGAGACCAGAATAATTGACATTTAGGAGGACCAATAGTATTCTGGAAAAAGAAAATCCGGAAGAAGAAAAACCTCCTAAATACCTTTAAGAACACCAAATGACTCGAGGACTACTATATCTAATGAATCAGTTTTTATACTACGCTTTTTGGGACACTCAAAGACACTTCACACGTCATTGTTCTACTACTGATACTGATAAACTACAACTGTAGCCACAGCTGCCCTGGGACACACTGACGGAACTGAGTGTACTTTACAATGTAAGTGAATGAAGCCAAAGTACTTCCCTATTCTTCGCAGAGCCAGGTGGCTGGTTAGCGTAGCACTGAGCACTGTCCATGGTCCTGACCTGAGTCTTCTTCTCCTGCAGAGCCCTGAAGCGGTCGCTCTGAGCCTGGATCATGGCATCCAGATCCTCCTGTTGCTTCAGCAGCTCCAGAACATCAGACACACAGTCCTGCAGAACAGATACAGGCAGAGAGGATTTCACTTTTTTTTTTTAGAAACTAGCTAAACTTCCTGTTCCTTTTTCACTGTGCCGAGACTCCAAAAGACAAACCAGGTTTTTATAAGTGTTGGTGTTTGTTGGAAATTAATCTGACATTACAAACATAGGGGCGACAGTAGCTCAGTTGGTAGAGGACTGGTCTTTAGACCTAATGGTCATGGGTTCGATTCCACCACGACCCATGTCATCTGCTTCCACTGCTGTCGTTGTGTCCCTGGGCAAGACACTTAACCCCCTATTGCCTGAAGCCTGCGCTGAAAGGCCAAGGCCATGTCTTTGATCACGGAGAAGCCATCTTCCAGTGGACTCACCACCTGCAGGAGGGACTGGTGCATTGAGACTTGGGTAGCAGCTCTGATTGCCACCCCCCGACCCAGAGATGGAATAATAAAGGGGTAGAAAATGACATGACTACAAACATCAGCATAAAACAATATTTGTTGCTTGGATGATGATGCAGAGAGAGACAAGAGAGTTACCAGAGACTTTGAGACCACAACGAGACCAGAGAGAGACCAGAAAGACAGACCAGGGAGGGACTGTCTCTCTGAGGTGAGAGACCAGGACTGAGGTGTTTCTCCCTCAGTCTTGGTCCCCCCCCACACTCCTGATCTCTCCCTCAGTCCTGGTCTCCCCCACAGTCCTGGTCTGTCCCCCAGTCCTGGTCTCCCCGTTCCTCCTCACCCCATAGTCCTGGGAGGTGAGGGTCCTCTCGTAGCTACTGAGCCAGCGATCAGCCTGCTCCATCTCTTTCTTCAGCAGAAACATCTCCAGTTCTTCTTCATAAAACACTTGCAGCTCGTCCCACAGAGACCAGAGCTGATCCTGGACCAGCTGCACCTCCTGGACTCTGGTCTCCACCTGCAGCAACAAGGACTTTAGACCCTGAGTCCTGGTCTTACTCTCAAGTCTTGGCATAGTCCCATAGTCCTAGCAGTAGCAGCAGTAGCATCAACAGCAGTAGCAGTAGTAGCAGTAGCAGTAGCATCAGCAGCCGTAGTAGTAGCAGCAACAGTAGTAGCATCAGCAGCAGTAGCAGCAGTAGTAGTAGCAGCAGTAACAGCAGTAGCAGTAGTAGTAGTAGCAGCAGCATCTATCGCATGGTTATTTTTTGCTGGGCAATATTTTTCTTGGATTAAATGTGTGAAAGCCATGGTGTCGCTGCTAATGCAAAAATGGATCGATGTGGTTGCTGAAATGTCCAGGATCTTTGTCAGAGATAGGTGGAAACCCTAGCAGTAGGGGTAGCAACAGCAGCAGCAGCAATAGTAGTAGTGGTAGTAGTAGCAGCAACAGCAGTAGGTACCTCAGCAGACATGCCCTCCTCCTGCTGTAGTCTCAGTCCCTCCTCCTTCAAGGCCTGGATCTTGCTGGTCTGTCTCTCCATCTGGTCTCTGCTCTCTGAGTGCTTCCTGATCACATGAACCAGGTCTGATCCTGATCCAGAGGCAGAGACCAACTTGGACTCGGCTCTGAGCTGGGAAAGGGTCTGCCTCAGCCACGACCTGGAACCAAACAACGCTATCTTAGACAGATCCATCTCTGGTCTCTCACTGGTTTATCTCTCTAGTCTCTCCCTGTGATCTCTCTCTCTGTTCTCTTTCTCTCATCTCCCTCTGCTCTCTCTCTGGTCTCTCTCTGGTCATGGTCCCTCTCTGATCTTTCTCTGGTCTCTCTCTGGTCTCCCTCTGGTCTCCCTCTGGTCTTTCTCTGGTCTCTCTCTGGTCTCCCTCTGGTCTCCCTCTGGTCTCCCTCTGGTCTCTCTCTGGTCTCCCTCTGGTCTCTCTCTGGTCATGGCCCCTCTCTGGTCTCTCTCACTGGTCTCCTCTCTGCTCTTTCTCTGGTCTCTCTCTGGTCTCTCTCTCTCAGACATACATTATTTGGTTACAGTGGTCCCTGAAGTTGCACAGGTCTTGGGCTCTCCTCAGTCTCTCTCTCCGCTCTGAGGCCTTCTGCTGCAGACTCTCCCAACTCTCCCCCACCTCCCTCAGAGTCTGGTCCACAGAGCGCTGGACCGCAGGCTGTCGGCCAATCAGAGCACGGCCCTCACAGCCACAGCGAGTCACCTCCTCCGAGATCAGAGCCAGGTCCCTCTGCGAGAAACAGACGCTAAACATGTGAAGAAAAGTACAGGATTCAGAATCACTATAGTTTGAGTTTGTGTGACATCAGCACGATTTACTTTGTGCTGGTCTCACTCTGGTCTCGCACTCTCATTTCCGTTCCTGTTCTTTCTCTCTGTTCTCCTTCTGTTATCGCTCTGGTCTCTCTCTGTTCTCTTTCTGCTCTCTCTCTCTGTTCTCTCTCTTTCTCATCCTGGTATCTCTCTGTGGTCCCTTTATGGTCTCTCTTTAGTCAAGACGATTGTAAATCTTAAGTACATTCTTGAGTATTATTCATCTGTAAAATGGTTGTATTACCTCCATGAGGGCCTTTATAATAACTTATTCAGTGTCTATAAAGCATGTATATACAGTTTAAATGTCACAAGATGATTCTATAAACCTATGATGCAGTATTTTTTGTTGAAGCCTGTACCTCCAGGGCTTCGTGCTGTCGGACCAGAGTCTGGACTGAGACCAGGTCCTGGTCTGGTTCCTCTGAGTCCAGAACCAGGTCTTTCTCTGCCATCCAGCCCCTGAGCTCCTCCACGTCATGATGGAACTGGTGCACCTCCCGAGCCAAGCGCAACTTCTGAGCATCACAGAAGAAAGAGAACAGATGTTTTTTGACCTGTGTCGACCCAGGACGACAATGACATCATTCTATTGCAGGACAAATATAACTTTCATGCAATCTCGTAAACTCAGTCCCAGGCTGCTGAGGACTTGTCCAGACCAGCTCCCTGAGGTCCTCAGCCACATCTGAGGTGGTAGTCTGCAGTGCTGGGGCCCCTTAGGGAACTGTCCTCTCACCGCTTCCCTTCACCATCTACACTCTAGACTTCACATACGACACACACAGCTGTCACCTGCAGAAGTTCTCAGACGACTCCGCCATCGTGGGCTGTGTGTCTGAGGGGAACAAACTGGAATACCGGTCGGTTATCATGGACTTTGTCGACTGGTGAGAGCGCAACCACTAGTGCTTGAACACCAGTAAGACCAAGTAGATGGTAATCGACTTTAGGAGAAAAACGAAGATTCTACGGTTCTATGAATCCCTCCTGACCGCCAGAGGCGCTCTGTTACCCAGGTTCCTTGCGTTTCCGCAAGAAGATTCTGTAGGAACAGAGTGATGGATGACGCCCAACTATATTACCTCCGAGGGGTCATTGAGGGGGTCACAGGTGTGACTCATTTAGTATTACCACTTGAACTATGCATGCGCAAAGGGAACATTCAGTGCTATGCACTGCCACTGGTGGACAGCTTCAAGTACCTGGGTGTTCACATTAACAATAAACTGGACTGGTCCCATAACACCAAGGCCCTGTACCAGAAGGGCTAAAGTTGCCTCTTCCTTCTGAGGAGGCGGAGGTTGTTTGGTGTGAGCAGGCCTCTGCTCAGGACCTTTTATGACTCTGTGGTAGCCTCAACCATACACTACGCATCCGTGTGCTGAGCCCCGGGCCGCACAGAGTGGGACAGAAGTAGACTGGACAAGCTGGTCAGGAGGGCCGCTCTGGGCTGCTCTCTGGACTCTGTGGAGGAGGTGAGGGACAGGAGGGTGCTAGTCAAAGTCACCTCCATCCTCTGTAGAGGATCTGAGCTCCTTCAGTGGAAAAGTGAACTGCACCCTCAGTGTAAGAAGGAGCGCTACCGCAGGGCCTTCATCCCCACCGCTGTCAGACTGTACAATAAGTCACTTTGATGATCTGCAGTAGGACTGAAAAACTTGCACGGCTATAGTCACTTTTCATTTTTCTTTGAATAATAAATATAGGGGGCCATAAGGGGCAGATGAACAATGTCCATAAATGTTTATAAAGACCTGTTCTCTGAAAGTGAGGGCTCGGCTCAGATCCTCCCACACTTGGCTCAGCTCGCCCCCTGCTGGAGACTCAGAGTCACTGTGGAGCCCCTGGACCAGCAGTTGGACTGCAGTGAGGCGGTTGCGACCCAGACCAGAGACCTCCAGCATCAGGCCCTCCAGCCGCTTCTGCAAAAGCTGAACACACCAGAGATGGAGGGTTAAACAGTGAGAGCAGAGAGAGACCTGAGAGAGAACAATGAGAGAGACCAGAGCAGAGCAGAGTAGAGTAGAAGAAGGTGAAGTAGGGCTGGTGGAAACACACATTCAGATGGGTTTCCACCATGGATTTTATTACATAGATTGATTGATGCGTTTTGAAAGTCAAGTACCTCAGCTTTAAGTATATTGGGTAAATGAATGTTGGTCAGTGGACAGAGGTATAATGACCTCTGGCCACTGACCCTGTGACACCGACCTCCACCCCTTCCAGGTCCTGCCCACAGTCCTCAGCCTCAGCCAGGCCCTTCTTCTTCGCGAGCCATGTTTGTAGTTCTTTGGCCTCTCGTTTGTAGGCGTAGAGCCGCAGCTGATCGGACAGAGCCGATCGACGGGACGAGGCCAGAACCAGGACCGACTCCAACAGGTGCGAGAGACCAGAGAGAGAGTCGGACACCAGGTGGCTACAAGAAAAACATAATGAGAGTAGGACCAGAGAGAGAGAGAGAGAGAGAGAGAGAGAAAGAGAGAGAGAGAGAGAGAGAAAGAGAAAGACCAGAGACAGACCAGAAAAAGAGATTAGTAAGAGACCAGTAAGAGAACACAGAGAAAGATCAGAGAGAGACCAGAGAGAGCAGTGTACCTGTTGGGATGCTTGAGTTCCTCCAACGCTGCTCTGGTCTGCTGCAGTTTGGACACAGAGCTGTTGTGGTTCTGCAGCTCTGCGTCCACAGAATCCAGAGCCTTCAGAAGAACCATGGTGCTCTCCTCATCTCTGCCACAGTCTGAGGTGACCAGGAGCGAGTGCTGGTCCTGCACACGCTGCTCCAGCTCCGACACCTGAGACACATCAGTGGTTTAGAGACACCAGAGACTCAAGGATGTCCGCAGTGTTTGCCAAACTATAAGCTAGCTGTTTAACATTAATATATAGTGCCCCTATAAAGTATTGAACTATTGCACATTTTCTGGATTTCTGGTTTTCTAGATAAAATATCCCAATATAAACACCAGGATCATAGAGAGCTATAGATTTAAGCCCAAAATGGTGAGTGTGACACAAACAGTTACTGGGCTAGGAGTTTACTTTTACATGGAAGTCAGTAGGAGCTAGAGAGAGGAGCCAAACTTCACCATGAGCACTTCCCTATCCCTATCTGTCTGTACCTGGTCCATGAAGCAGTGGATGCGTAGTGCCTGCTGCAGGAGCTGGTCTTTTCTCTGAGCCTGAGTCTGCAGCTGATCATGGAGACGCTTCAGTTCATCCACTCGCTCTCTGATGTCACGGGAAGCAAAGTGCCGCGCTCTCACCTGCAGCATAAAGGGAGGAGTGAGAGAGACCAGAAAGAGACCAGAGAAACCAGAGAGAGACCTCCTGAGAGAGACACCACAGACAGACCAGAGAGAGACCTGAGAAAGACCTGAGAGAGACCTGAGAGAGAGACCAGGGAGACCAGAGAGAGACCTGAGAGAGACCTGAGAGAGAGACCAGAGAGAGAGACCAGGGAGACCAGAGAGAGACCAGAGAGAGACCAGAGAGAAACCTGAGAGAGAGACCTGAGAGAGAGACCAGAGAGAGAGACCAGGGAGACCAGAGAGAGAACTGAGAGAGAGACCAGAGAGAGAGACCAGAGAGAGAGACCAGAGAGAGAGACCAGAGAGAGAGACCAGAGAGAGACCAGAGAGAGACCAGAGAGAGACCAGAGAGAGAGACCAGAGAGACCAGAGAGAGACCAGAGAGAGACCAGAGAGAGACCAGAGGGTTCATCTGTGATTTCATCTCTAACACTTGTGTGTTCATCTCTAACACTTGTGTGTTCATCTCTAACACCTGTGTGTTCATCTTTAACATCTGTGTGTTTCTCACCAGATCTCGTTCAGTTTCCTCTATAGACTTCAGTGCAGCAGAGCGAGAGGACAGAGCCTTCATCACAGACTGAGGACAAACATCAGAGAAGGTCATTGTTCATGAGGTTCAGAGAGTTTGTTATGTTCAAAGTCGACTGTGATCGTCCTCCTCGAGTCGAGACATTCTGTGTATCACACATCAATGTTCTGTGTCCCATGGATGTGTTTATTATAATAATCTACAACTGTAAACCTGCAAACCAAATGACCTGCTGGAGGTGGATGACGACAGAAGAAGTTCTGATCACTCGCACCGTACTCACATCCACTGGTAAATATTCAAAGAGTCGTAGATCAGAGCAGAAGTCTGAAGACGGTAGAGGAGCACTGGGTGTTGACTCCAGCGTGCACTGGAGTGGTGCATGTGTGAAGATCCTGAAGCTGAAATGTGTCCAGTACAGATGTACAGACACACAGATGTACAGACACACAGATGTACAGACACACAGATGTACAGACACACAGATGTACAGACACACAGATGTACAGTCACACAGATGTACAGTCACACATATGTACAGACACACAGATGTACAGACACACAGATGTACAGACACTCAGATGCACAGACACACAGATGTACAGACACACAGATGTACAGACACACAGATGTACAGACACTCAGATGCACAGACACACAGATGTACAGACACACAGATGTACAGACACACAGATGTACAGACACACAGATGTACAGACACACAGATACACAGACACACAGATGTACAGACACACAGATACACAGACACACAGATGTACAGACACACAGATGTACAGACACACAGATGTACAGACACACAGATACACAGACACACAGATGTACAGACACACAGATGTACAGACACACAGATGTACAGTCACACAGATGTACAGACACACAGATGTACAGACACACAGATGTACAGACACACAGATGTACAGACACTCAGATGCACAGACACACAGATGTACAGACACACATATGTACAGTCACACAGATGTACAGACACACAGATGTACAGACACACAGATGTACAGACACTCAGATGCACAGACACTCAGATGCACAGACACACAGATGTACAGACACACAGATGTACAGACACACAGATGTACAGACACACAGATGTACAGACACACAGATACACAGACACACAGATACACAGACACACAGATGTACAGACACTCAGATGCACAGACACTCAGATGCACAGACACACAGATGTACAGACACACAGATGTACAGACACACAGATGTACAGACACACAGATACACAGACACACAGATACACAGACACACAGATGTACAGACACACAGATGTACAAAGTTACCTGGTGCTTGTGCAGCAGCAGTTGGGTGGAGCTCTGTGTAGAGCCCAGCTCCTCACTCCGCACACTTGGCAGAGTGTCTCTGGTCCAGGCCTCCTCCTGCTCCACGTCTTTGTGGAACTGGAACAGACGGCTCCAGCTTTCCAGCGCCTCTCTGCGCCGCTGCATGGGCGCACTCAGCCCGTTGTACCTGACACAGCACAGAGACAAAGGACATTATGATGGAAAAGGTACTAGAGTCTATCACTAGTTTCATGTTTTTCTGGTCCCTGTCACATCTTTAGATCAGCTCTATCAGACAGAAAAGAGAGGACAACCTTCACTCAGCCAATCAAAGTCAAAGTTACGTACCCCAGCTTTAAGTACAGAATGGTTCAAACCTCTTGATGGTCTGTGCCACTCTGGTCTGAATCTCATTGGCCATAAAGTTCCCTTCAGACTGCAGACTCTTTGCTGTCTCCAACAAACTCTGGAAAATACGTCAGAATATATCTCAATCAGAGACAAGAGAGAGACCAGAGAGACCACAGAGAGATCAGAGAAAGAGATCAGAGAGAGACCATAGACAGACTAGCGATAAAGACTAGAGAAAGAGACGAGAGGGAGAGACCAGAGAGAGAGAGAGTGAGAGAGAACGAGAGACCAGACAGAGATGAGAGAGAGAGACCAGAGAGAGATCAGAGAGAGAGACCAGACAGAGATCAGAGAGAGACCAGAGAGAGAGACCAGAAGAAGAGAGACCAGACGAAGAGAGACCAGAGTGAGATCAGAGTATTGGAGCACCTGGAGGCGCTCTCGGAGTCCGTCCACTTCCTGCTCCAGTCCCTGCAGACTCTTCAGGAGCCGAGTGACAGAGACCAGGTCCTCGCCGTGGTCCTCACAGGCCACACCCTTCTCCACTGACTCCACCCACTGCTGTATGTCGTCAAGGCAACGCTCCAACTGCAGCGCCTGCAAAAAACCATCCTCCATCAGGAACCAATCAGACGCTCTGTATTTTTACCGTTATAAAAAGTTATCAAAACACAGCAAGATAATTTTAAACTAACACCATCAACTCATTCCTTTAATAACAGCAACTACAGTAGTTTAGAACCAACTTTAAAGACACATACAGTAAGCCCTGTTTCTCCTCTATCCTCCAAACTCTACTATGGCCAAGACCAAAGAGCAGTCAAAGCCACCCCCCCGACCCAGAAATGGATTAAGTAATCTTTATTTTATTTATATACCGCCTTTCATAGACCAGAGTCACAAAGCGGTTTACAAGGGGAAGAAAATGGATGGATGGATCTGGGGCTCCACGCAAGATCTCACCCCTTGGGGTCAAAATGATCAAGAATGGTGGGTAATAAACCCAGAACCACATGGGGGACCTGGTGAATGACCTGCAGAGAGCTGGGACCAGAGTAACGAAGGCTACCATCAGTAACACACTACGCTGCCAGGGACTCACATCCTGCAGAGCCAGACGTGTCCTCCTGCTTTAGCTCGTACATGTCCAGGCTTGTTTGAAGTTTGCTAAAGAGCATTTGGATGATCCAGGAGAGGATTGAAAGAATGTCATATGAAACCAAAATTTGTTGTGTTTGGAGGAGAGTTGCATCCAAAGAACACCACACCTACTGTGAAGCTAAAGGTATGGTGGCTGTTTTCTGCAAAGGGATCAGGACGACTGATCCGTGTAAAGGAAAGAATGAATGGGGCCATGTATCGTGAGATTGAATGAAAACCACCTTCCATCAGCAAGGACACTGAAGATGAAACGTGGCTGGGTCTTTCAGCATGACAATGATCACAAACACACTGCCCGAGCATTGAAAGAGTGGCTTCGTACAAAGCCTTTCGAGGTCCTGGAGTGGCCTAGCCAGTCTCCAGATCTCAACCCCATAGACAATCTTTGGAGAGAGTTGTGTTGCCCAGCAACAGCCCCAAAACATCACTGCTCTAGAGGAGATCTGCATGGAGGAATGGGCCAAAATACCAGCAACAGTGTGTGAAAACCTTGTGAAGACTTACAGAAAACGTTTGAGCTCTGTCATTGCCAACAAAGTGTATATAACAAAGTATTGAGATCAACTTTTGATATTGACTAAATACTTATTTTCCACTAGAATTTTCAAATAAATTCTTTAAAAATCATGTAATGCGATTTTCTAGATTTTTGTTCTCATTCTGTCTCTCATGGTTGAGATTTACTTATAATGAAAATTACAGGCCTCCCTCATCTTTTTAAGTTGCACAATTGGTGGCTGACAAAATACTTTTTTGCTCTACTGTACATCACAGACAGGACCATAGGATGCAGGTGGAGAGTTACCCTGTAGGCCTCCTGCAGACGGCTCTTCTTCTCTCTGCAGTTGTGTAGCAGAGACTCCCAGTTCCCGCTCATTTCTCTGAGTTTGGGACCGACCTTCACCTTCGCAGAACGACTCTCACTCATCAGCTTCTGACCCTCCTACAGCAGAAACAAAAGTATGGTCCGTAAAGAACACACACACACAGTTAGAGCCAAGATTAGAGCTGCACAAACAAAATAATCACAAATACCTGAGTTCTCTGCAAACTAAATAAAATCACTTGAATTTGTGAAAACTTGAGTTAATTTTGAAGATTTGTCAAAGGAAAGAGTCTCTCTGGGGTCCCTCTGTTCTCTATGGTCTGGTATCTATGGTCTCGCTCTGGTCCCTCTAATCTTTTTAGTATCGCTTGGGCCTCTCTCTGTGCCTCTCTTTCATCTGACTGGTCTCTCTCTCTATACTCTCTTTTTGCTCTCTCTGGTCTCTCCCTCTGGTCTCTTTCTGTGGGCGACACGGTGGCTGAGTGGATAGCACTATCGGCAAGAAGATCCTGGGTTCAAATCCCAGTCGGAACAGGGCCTTTCTGAGTAGAGTTTGCATGTTCTCCCAGTGTCTGCTCCTTACCACTAAAAACAATGTACAATATCTTTGGGTGACCTTGGTCTGTAAAAAAAAATACATTACTTATTCTCTCTGGATCAATCTAGTCTCAATCTCTAGTCTCTCTCTGTTCAAGTACTACTGAAAAAATAGAAATTGCATTAGAGAGGCACCAGCTCTCTCTTTCTCCCCACCTGGTTCAGATGGTCCAGCTGGTAGTGGTTAGCCAGGACCTCGCTCTCAAAGGTCTGGTGCTTGAGGATCTTGGCCTGCAGGTTGGTTGGTTCCCTCCAGTTCTCATCCAGAGCCACAGCGTTCCGTTCCGACAGCCACACTCCAAACTGAGAGACACAGTTTGAATATTAGAATATAGAGGAAAACCATTGTAAAGAAAGGAGAGAGCCCCCAACAGACCTGGTAGGCGTTGGACAAGAACTGCTGAAGCTGAAGAGACTGCTCCAAGTCTCGGAGACGAGTTCTGCTGTTTTTTTGAAGCTCACAGCGTCTGGCAAGATACGGACAGATATTTGAGCTGTGAAATGATGGAATCTTTGCTTTTTGGTGCGTCCGAGCCTGGCCATAACCATCCGTTAACTCCGATCAATTATTATTTCCCTTCATGTACATCTGAGTGTGATACTAGTGGTTGCGGTTACCTCGGTTGTATCACATCCGACCAATCAGCGAGGATGGGAGGCGGGTCAAGAGTTTGCGCCGACTTTGCTGGTAGTGGGGATTGTGATCGTAAAGTAATCTATTCTGGTTCGGCTCCCAAAAATTAAGAAAATTTAAACCAGAGCAAATATTTAGCAATGTCCTTTCTGGCAAAGATGCTGTGACTCAACTCCCACGGGCTCCATTAGTGACAAAGAAGATGGCTAAAGCTAGGCTAAATGCTAAATGCCTTGCTCACTCGGGCGCTCTACATACGTCGCAGTAAACTCAGATCCAATCATTTCAATCTGCAAAAGGAGTTAACCCCTCCTCCCTGTTAACGAAGCTCAATGGAGCAAATCCAGACCTTAGTTATGAAATGAAATTAGTACAATGTTGTGGTAAGACCAGGCGAGGTGCTTCCAAGTTTATTCCTGATCTGGAAGTCTCTGCCTCAGTCTCTGCTTCAGTCTCTGCTTCAGTCTCTGCTTCAGTCTCTGCTTCAGTCTCTGCTTCAGTCTCTGCCTCAGTCTCTGCTTCAGTCTCTGCTTCAGTCTCTGCTTCAGTCTCTGCTTCAGTCTCTGCTTCAGTCTCTGCCTCAGTCTCTGCTTCAGTCTCTGCCTCAGTCTCTGCCTCAGTCTCTGCTTCAGTCTCTGCTTCAGTCTCTGCTTCAGTCTCTGCTTCAGTCTCTGCTTCAGTCCTGTTCTGTACCTGTTCTTGAGTGCAGTAATTTTCTCTCTGATGGTCTTTGAGTCCTGGTGTTTGTCCTGGACCATGTTTTGGGCCTGGGTCTCCACCTGCTGCAGCCTCTGGACCTGAGTCTCCAGCTCCTCCTCAAACTGGGAGTGTTTCCTCAGCAGAACCTCCACCTCTGACACAGAACTCTGAAACAGGAAAACCTCCTTCATAATCGTTACTGCTAATCTAACTCTTGTGTTTCATACATAGGTTGTGAAAAAAGTTGTGGAAATTTTCCAAAGAAGGACTGAACAAGGACTGTACCAGGTCTTAAACAGGGTCTAAAGCAGGGACTAAAGCAGGTCTAAAACAAGACTAAAGCAGGACTAAAGTAGGTCTAAACAAGGAAGTAAACTAAGTCTAAAGAAGAACTAAAGCATGTCTAAAGCAGGACAAACAGAGTTTTACCCCTTGGTCGTGGTTGGAGAGAAAAACTTCTTTGTTGCTGAGCCAGACCTCACACTGCTCCACAGACAACAGGAACATCTGAAGACAAACACAAGCAGCATGACAGAGGTTTAAAAGGGGTCGGCAGAGGCAGCAGACCCAAACACTCTCTGACCCTAAACCTCTCTCCCAACACTGTCCTCAAGGCATCTCCATGTTCTTCTGTCGGACCAATTTAATTCTGCTTCAGTCTAATGTGTTACCACTAATTTAAACGTCACACTAGGAACAAATGATGCAATAAGAGCTCATGTAACGTGACACTGACCTGTAGAGTCCGAGTCTGCTCCAGGACCAGACCACGTTGAGTCCAGGTCTGCTCCAGGTCGGCTTTTGCCTGGTCCAGCTGGTTCAGGGCTCTCTGGATCTCAGACTTAGACCTGTGTCCAGACCGGATCAGGCCTGAGCCAAAGTCCTTCACGGAGTCGAGGCGTTCAGAGCGAGCATCGATCTCAGCCTGAGGACACAGCGGCGATTTAGAAACCAATCAATCACACACACAGTGCACGTAGACTAGGGGTGAGAATTGGCAAAAATGCGAGGATTGGATTGTATTACAACATTAACAAGAGGGTAGTGTGAAAACGTTGTCCTTGAACACTCAGGACACAGGACTTTATTACAGACAAGACATAATTATTCTCTGAACAGACGACTCTCACATGAATGGGGAGCTTCCAGCACATCACAAAGAGTAGACATCATAGAGGAACATAAACCTCAGAAGTCAGGGTTAGCATTGTTTGACTATATACAGTCTATGTTCAATTTGTTTATTTAACTCTTTGGGCTGAGAGCTGATTGGCTGAGTGAGGGTTGTCCCCACTTTGCCACTTTTCTGTCAGAAAAATGTAATCTAAAGCAAGAGATACGTGCATGAAAGTAGTGAAGGAAAGTGTTTTAAAGCCTAAACTAGCCTAAACATAGACTGTTCTATCATAATGCCAGTGCTGTGCTTTGAAAATCAGGTACCCCTGCTTTAATGAAGCAGAGCCCCAAGCCTGCGTACCCTCCAGTCCCTGTGCTCCGTCAGCAGCTGCTCCTCCTCCTGCAGGCTCCCAGGGGCCTCTCTCTGCTCCAGGTCTGCTCTGCACTTCTGACACCAGTCCAGCAGGAGGCGCTGGTTGGCTTTGAAGAGCTGCAGCTGGTGCGCCTCCTGCAGACTCTGCTTCCTGTTTGTTAGAGGTTAAAGTCAAGGGAAACTGAAGAGAGAGAGACACTATTTATTTAAAGACACTTAAGTGCAGCTTTTAATGGGTATTTATGAAGCGCTATGGCCTTTTTCAACATTTAACTGACTGCTGACTGTCACTTTCCCATCTGGGTTAGGGCTAGCGCTAGTTGGAGCCTCTGAGCTAGCTCATACTAGCTTGTAACACTAAAATCTAGTAGAAAAATGTAATCATTGCAGCTTCTGAATTCTAGAGTACACAGCAAGCACCACTTTAAATAATAATTTCACCATGAAACATTTATCACAAGGCAGAAGATGGCTGCCGCGGCCTCTGCTACTCCAGCTCTTGTTCCTGTGTTCAAAAACTCAAGCTTGAAACCTGAGATAAATCAGACCATTGATGGAAAACTGGTTGTAATGTAGAGGATAAATTATTGAGTTTCCTCTGCGTCAAAATGAAAACAATGAGCCAAGATGAGATTGCGATCTTGGTTATTAATGCATTTGACACTGAATGGTGTCAAACCTTCTCAGAAGGTTCTGTTTGAGCTCGCACATCCACGCAGAGGGACACAAAGACGCAAACAATATCAATGTCTTGTCCATTAATTGTCGTGGGTTGCAGCTTGGGAAGCTCGACATTTGGTTATTGACAAACTTCTGTTAAACTGTGATGTACTCTGTTTGCAAGAGACATTTTTAACAACAAAATATGCAGAGGTCGAACTCTTTTAATGACTATTTTCATGGTGCTGTAGAATCCTCTACAGACTATGACCGCGGTAATGTCCGGGGGAGAATAGCAGGTGTAGAAATCCTATGGAGAAAGGCACCTGATAAATACATTAAAGTTGTTAGACTTGGTGTGGATTGGTGTTCAGTTTACATGTGACAATAAGGACTTCATCATTTTAAATATATACACCCCCCATGAATGCCGACAGAATGAGAATGAATAATTAAACTAATACGCTTTTTTACACTCTTTTATTGAAAGTTGTCTTACGTCAAGTATTTACAGTATGTGCACCCCGTGTAAATGTAAATTTTTTATCCATGGACTAACTCTTAATGGTCAAGGATAGCAAATTTTGACGTTCTAATTCATTCATCGAGATGTGCACCCCTTGTAATTTTACACACCACATGCAACTTTAACACACCACACTTTTGAATGTGGAGTTATATTGACCTGCCTGTGAAAATGTTGCCAAAATCCTCCATAGATATCTGGACTCCCCTGCTGTGCGCCACCGCTGGTGTGCCGCTCAGCTCCGGTGATGTGTTCAGGGACACCACTGTGATTCTCCATTACAGTGACGCGGCTGTCCAAGCAGGCCGTAACCGCGCATATGCTTTCAAAAGCGCTGGTTTGCTCCTCCATGGACTTTTTCCATACACCCAATGTCAGCGTTTAGTTTCTCCATCCGGGCCAGCAGTGCAGATGCATCGATGTGGTTAAATGAAACAGGGGGCAAGTCGTCCAGATAATGTGACACAAATCTTGATTTGTGTCACGCAATTGATTCTATCTTTTCAACACGTAAGCGTGGGTCTGGAGAGCCCGTGTGCCCGGACGGGACCTCACCAGCGGGGTATACTCTTGACAGCTGGAACAAGTTTCAGCCCCTCTGTCTGTCGACCCTGTCCATTGAAGATTCGGAAGACGTATATATCTTTGGCATTTTGGTGGTGGAAATCCTCCTGTTTGGGTTTGGAGCAGTTCTCTTCTACCACAAATTCGGAGGCATGGCAGTTCGCAAGATTCACGACCTGCTGGCCGACAAAATTGATGGGATGTACAAGGAGCTTAGCCGCATCGTGGTTGAGAGTGCCGTGTCTGGACAAAGGAGAGTGGTTCGGGTGGAACAGTTGATAAAAGATCTCGCAGCTCGTTCACTCGTAGGGAATACAACTCTGGAGTTGAGATTGAATGACATCGTTTGCCAGGCTTGAACTCTCTGACCCGGCTTGGATTTGCCCCTGTGTACGGGGTCTGAGGGCGCCGCAATTCGGATTAATTGGATTTAATAGAATATCTGCCTGCTTTTGACAGCTACATTGCATTTAATATTGTCCCCCTGAGGCGATGTGTTTTTCTCCTCCTGTGCCTTCTCTCCACTCTTATCTCACATTCCTTCGGCCAAGGCCATAATAACAAAGGTCCCAATCTACAACAATTCACACTATTCAGTCTCCAGCTTGGATCCCCTACCCCCGCCTCCCTCTACCTATCCATCTTGCTCCCTCCCTCCCCTCCACTCCTCACTGTGTTTCCGACTCACCCCCTCCCTGACCCCGCCCCCCTCTGACAGCCACATTGGCCGGCTGTCGGAGGTGCTCATCCCGAGAAAAAAATCCGTGCTTTATACAAAGCACAATGTGTCTATCCAACTGTCTGTGAAACTGTATGTTATCGCTCTCTGCTGTTTATTCTACTGTTTGTCGCATGGCGCCATAAAGATGGCGCCGTGGCAAGAGCTCTGGTGTGTGTCGTCTTCTCTGTCTGGTGCACACCGGGGTAGTCTTGCACAGTTTTTCCAATGTGGTTTTACTGCAAATGGCAAATAAATGAATCTGAATCTGAATCTGAATCTTGGTATACTGTCCCCACACTCATTAATGACTTTCATGCAAAGTTTCACATTATTGATGTCCTTAAGTGCTCCTTTGTGCATAACGCAGCGTTGCGAGGAACCTGGGCAGACCTCGAACAAAAGCCTCAATGCGCTCAGAGCTGAAATTGTTTGTAACCAGCATTACAATTTCATCATGACACATTGTCCTCATTGTCACCACTATAAAGTTCAAAAGTTCATCTTCAACGAGAACTTTGCCATGGTTGGTTTTGAATATCTCCGGTTTTATTCATGAGAAGGCATTACCAGCCAAGCGGCGCATCTCATCCGCCGCCATGTTAATCTGATAACCTGTCTGACGATGGCGATGTGTTACAGCAGAGATGGAGCTGAGTCTGCTGCGGACGCTCAATACGAGTACTTTAATTTGAGTACTTCCCGAAACCGAATACCGATATGATACAAGTACTGCATTGTTTTATCCATGGGAATTCATAAAACTATTACAACTAAAATTGTTTTATTTCTCAACAACAAGAAAATGCTTTAACAATTAAACATTTTAGCAATTGTTTTGACAATGATAATACAATAATAATAATCTGTCATTTTCCACTCATACAAAAGGTATCTATGGTTGTTTTTGTGCTTTGGTGCTAGCAAGGGTGCTATACAAGTTTTAAGATGTTTGATCAAGTTGCTGGTGTTATACGTGTTTGCTTTAGACCTTCCTCTTAGCCGCAGCTAGCCATAAAGCTAGCGGCAAACGCTTTCTTGCTGCAGACTTTAAGAGATCACCATGGCAACACGACAGCTGCGTCACACACAGCTGTCTGCTGTCGTAGCGCTAACGTAAATGATTGGGTCCTATGGTATGAGTAAGAGAACAAGAGTTTTGACCAGATACCAGTATCGGCGCATCCCTAGTTTAAATGCCTTGCACCTCTGTCCTCTGTCTCTTACCTCTGTCCAGTCTCATGTCTCAGTTCCTCTGTCTCTTACCTCTGTCCAGTCTCATGTCTCAGCTCCTCTGTCTCTTACCTCTGTCCAGTCTCATGTCTCAGCTCCTCTGTCTCTTACCTCTGTCCAGTCTCATGTCTCAGCTCCTCTGTCTCTTACCTCTGTCCAGTCTCATGTCTCAGCTCCTCTGTCTCTTACCTCTGTCCAGTCTCATGTCTCAGCTCTTTCACCGTCTTCTGCGTCTCTCTCAGTGTGTTCTTCAGTTTGTCTCTGAGGACCGAGCTGCTCTTGAGTTGAGAGTTCACCTCCAGCTCCAGACTCTGTCCACACAAACACATTCTACATTAGTCTCAAGTCATTAGCTTGAACCCTGGGTGAGTCCTGTCAATGTGTCGGACCTGGGCTCTCTCCTGGATCACTCCCGCCTCCCTCTCCGTCTCCTCGTGACGTCGGATCAGGTTCTCCACAGTCTCCACATCGGAGCCACAGTCCTGGCGCTGCACCAGCAGAGTCTGAGGAACAAGGGAACCTGGGTTTAAACACAGTCTTCACAAAGTTCATAAATGTACAATACAGTTCAATACAGTTCATGTAATACAGACAGTTCATTATGTCGCCTGTGGCAAGGCATAGGTGTTTTTAAAAAGACAAAAGTGTAAAGAAGGAGCAACAGTGGCTCAGTTGGTAGAGCATTGGGCCTGAAGCCTGAAGGTTGTGGGTTCGAGTCCACCACAAGACCTACTTCACGACTCCCACTGATGTCTGCTGTCGTTCTGTCCTTGGGCAGGACACTTAACCCCACTTTGCCCAAAGCTCCCACTGAAAGATCTCAGCTCCTGTGGACTCACCACCTGCAGGAGGATCAGTGAGGGGCTGGTGCTCTGTGTACTGGGTGCAGCTCTGACTGCCACCCCCGACCCAGAAATGGATTAAGGGGAAGAAAATGGATGGATGGAAAAGTGTAAAGAAGCTAGTTTCCCCTTATTTACCATCTTGGGTAAAGTGCAAATAGCCAATGTTCTCCCACAGAAATATATTACATTTAATTGAATATTTTATTGTCACAATATCTTATTCAAAAATTCAACAGACACATGGTTTGAAGTCCTTTTTCCATCTCCACCACTAGAGGTCAAATCCTGCAGTCTCTTGGTGCAGTCTCCATTTCTCTCTCTCTCTTCTCTCTCTGCTCAGAGAGAGAAGAGGCATAGAGAGGAGATATCAGGGAGAGAAGAGAAAAGAAAGAGAGAGAAGAGGGACTACTCGAACTCTCAGCTGTTACCTTCTCGCTGGCTCGGTCTCGGAGCTCCTCTAGCTCTCGGATTAGCTTGTGCACCACCAGCGCCCCCTGCAGTTTGTCCTTGTACTGACTCAGATCCACATGGAAGCGGCCCCACCTGCTCAACAAGGGAGAGGTCAGAGGTCAGGGCAAACACGTTACAGTGATGATGATGGAGGCAAGAGAAAGCGGAGAGAGGACAGAGAGAGAAGAGTGAGAGCAGAGAGAAAAGAGAGAGACACACACCTGTCGTTGAGCTGCTGCCTCCTCCTCCTCACAGTCTGCACCTCCTCGCTCCTCGGACGTTTCTCCAGATGAACACCACTGTCGTTGATGGCTTTGATGAGTGCGTCGTCCACCGTCTCCTGCAGAAGAGAGAGCAGAAAGAGAAGAGAAGGAGAGATGAGAGGAGAGAAATAAGAGAAAGAAGAGAGAAGAGAGAGACAGAAGAGAGAAGCACAGTGGTGATGATCCATGGACATGTATGGACATTGTAATACTGTATAATGTTGTCGTGAAATGCGGTGTTGTGCTGGTCCCTGCGGCTCTCACCCCTCGGCCTTTGGCTCTGAACTCGCTCAGTCTCTTCAGGAGCTGGACTCCGTGCTCATAGTCCTTCCCCAGATCTCCAACGTTGATCAGCACTTCCTGCATCAGAGAAGAGGTTCAGACTGGACACGATTCAACGGACAATCTCTTTGGAGCTAAAGCACTCTGTTTTTGAGGAGGAACAGTTTGAAAACTGTTTCTATACAGTCTCACAATATTTTACACACACAATTCAAGCGATACAGTGAGAAAAGTATTGGCATATTTAATTAAATAATTTTATGTTTCACTTTACTCTCAGAGTTTACTCTAAGTTTCCTCTGATCCTTTCTATCTGAGGTTTATGTTCCTCAATGATGACTGCTTGTTGTGACTCTAGTTTGTTGTATATGAGCTGGGAGCTCACCCTTCATGAGAGAGTCGTCTAATTAGAATATAATGATGTCTGTCATAAGGTCCTTTTTGCACTACCCTCCTAAGTGTTCATGTGCAGACCATAATAAAAGTCACAGAGGACAAGGCAAGGCAAGGCAAGGCAAGGCAAGGCAAGTTTATTTGTATAGCACAATTCATACACAAGGCAACTCAAAGTGCTGAACAAGATAGCATTAAAATCATAAATAATCACAGAACATTAAAAAGAAAGATAAAAATATAAAATCCCTCAGTTGTATGCATAGCTAAACAGCACAGTTTTTAACTTGGTTTTAAACATAGTCAGAGAGGAGGCCTGTCTCACATCCTCAGGAAGAATGTTCCAGATTTTAGCAGCATGAATCTGAAAAGCAGCCTCCCCATGTTTAGTTCTGACTCTGGGCACTAACAGGAGTCCAGTCCCTGTGCTCCTCAGAGTCCGGGCTGGTTCATATGGGACTAACATGTCACTAATATATTTTGGTGCGAGGCCATGGAGAGACTTGTACACAAGCAAAGCTGTTTTAAAGTCTATTCTCTGAGCCACAGGAAGCCAGTGCAGAGACCTGAGGACCGGACTAATATGGTCATACTTCCTGGTTCTAGTCAGGACTCGAGCTGCTGCATTTTGAATGTACTGCAGCTGTTTTACAGCCTGTTTGGACAGACCTGTGAGCAGGCCATTGCAGTAGTCTAACCTACTGGAGACAAATGCATGGATAAGAATCTCCAAGTCTGCTTTAGACACTATGTTTTTGATCCTGGAAATGTTTTTTAGATGGTAAAAAGCTGCTGATGTTACTGATTTGATGTGGCTATTAAAATTTTAGTCTGAGTCCAGTATTACCCCTAGATTTCTGACCTTGTTTGAAGGTTTTAGGGAGAGAGACTGTAGATGACAGATGACGCTCTCTCTTTGTTTCTGGGGACCAAAGACAATCATTTCAGTTTCGTCTGCGTTTAGCTGAAGGAAGTTGTTTTGCATCCACTCACTGATCTGTTGGATACAGTGAAGGAGTGAGTCCACTGGTCCATGTTCTCCTGCAGTCAGTGAGACATAGATCTGAGTGTCGTCTGCATAGTTATGATAGGAAACTTCGTTTCTGCGTATTAACTGACCTAACGGCAGCATGTAGAGATTGAAAAGAAGAGGTCCCAGGATCGACCCCTGTGGTACTCCACAGGTCAGGGCCATATGATCTGAGACACAGTTTCCAATCTCCACAAAGTACTTCCTGTCTTCAAGGTAAGACCTAAACCAACTTAGGGCGGTGCCAGCTACGCCAACCCAGTCCTCTAGTCTCTGTAAGAGGATCTCATGGTCGACAGTGTCAAAGGCAGCACTCAGATCTAACAGGATTAGGATTGAGACTTTGCCTGCGTCAGTGTTTAGCCGGATATCGTTTGTAACCTTGACGAGAGCAGTCTCAGTGCTGTGGTGGGGTCTAAAGCCGGACTGAAACATATCAAATGAGTTGTTGATTATAAGAAATCTATTTAGCTGTTGGTAGACAACTTTTTCAAGGACTTTCCCCATAAATGGCAGATTTGAGATGGGACGGTAGTTGTTAAGTACCGTAGCATCCAGACTGCTCTTTTTAAGCAGGGGCCTGATGACTGCAGTTTTCAGGGCCTTTGGGAATATTCCAGAATGAAGGGACATGTTTACTATCTGTGTGAGTGAAGGTAACAGACTGCTCAGAACAGACTTTAGAAATCTAGTGGGTAGTACATCCAGGCTACATGTGGAGGCGCTCAGACTGGAGATTATCTCTTGGACAGTTTGATCATTTACAGGTGCAAAGTAAGTTAGCTCAAAGAGCCTTTTAGGCTGTTGGATGGTTATCTGTGGATTGGAGACAATGGCGTTTTTGATGCCTTGAACCTTGTCATTGAAAAAATGTGCAAACTCATTACATTTACGTTTGGAAGTTAGCTCTAATGGCATTTGAACAGGGGGGTTTGTTAATCTATTAACTGTTGAAAACAGAACACGCAGATTGTTGCTGCAGCCTTCAATCATTTCAGAAAAATACCTTTCTCTCGTACTACGTAGCACCCGGTTAAACTCGCACAACTTATCTTTGAAGATCTCGTAATCAACCTGGAGGTTGGACTTGCGCCACTTCCGCTCGGCCCTCCGGCACTCTCTCTTTTGTGCCCTGACCGAGTCTGCTTTAGCCCACGGCGCCTTCTGCTTATTTTTCACTGTTTTAACCTTCACAGGAGCGATGGTGTCCAGAACATTCAAAACACTAGAGGTGACAGAGTTAAACAGTTCATCTACAGTAGAATACGATGCATTCTCAGAGTTTATCATTCCCATAAATAGTTCACCCGTATTTTCATTTATGTGTCTTCTTCGTACAGTTGCAGAGTCCACTGGTGGTTTGTTAGTGAAACACATGTCAAAAAATACACAAAAATGATCCGAAAGCGCAACATCGACCACGTTTACATTTGAAATATTCACCCCCTTAGTAACTAACAGGTCTAGAGTGTGCCCTCTGCTGTGGGTGGGGCCACTCACATGCTGAGTGAGACCAAAAGATTCAAGAACAGAACTCAGCTCTTTTGCCTTTCTGTCAATAACATTATCCACATGAATATTAAAATCCCCTGTAATAACTAAGCTATCAAAATCTGTGCATAAAACTGAAAGCAACTCCGTAAAATTATCAATAAATCTGTGACATGACTGCGGTGGCTTGTATAGGACAATGAAGAGTATTGGACTAGATTGTTTTTGTTGTATTTTAAAAGACACATATTCAAAAGACGGAAACTTCCCAAGAGACATTCTATGGGAGACAAAGTGGTCTCTGAAAATGGCAGCTAAGCCTCCTCCTTTTTTGTTTCCCCGTATTTCAGATTCAAATTTGAAATTTGGTGGTGATGCTTCTATTAAAACTGCATTTTCTGTATTTTGGTCAAGCCATGTTTCAGCCATGAACATAAGATCTAGATTATAAGAACAAATAAAATTATTGATTAAAAAAGACTTGTTACAAAGAGATCTGACATTTAGCATAGCAAGTTTCAAAGTTTCAGTATCAGCGGTTGTGGTCGGCTGATTCTTACACGGAACAAGAATTAGATTTTCCTGATTAGACTGATTAACTTCAGATGTTTTTCTGTTATGTATTCTTTGTGTTATCACTAAGGGAATGGCACAGGTGGCTTCATGACAGGGCCCCAGCCGGGTCTCTCCTCTAACTAGACTGCCAGTGGCTGCGAAGCAGAGACCCTGTGCATCCTAGTGTTTAGAGAAAAGAGGGGAAGGGGAAGGTGGGGGAAGAGGATGGAGAGGCAGGTGGTTCTTGGGAGTTGGACGGGGGGGGGTTGAAGGTGGATGGGTTTTTGGTGATGGGTTAGGGGAGGGGCAGGCTGAGTTGGGTGGTGGACGAGGGGGGAGTGGAGGTGGAGGGTTTCTTGGTGCTGGGTTAGGGGGGAGGTGGGCTAAATGAGCAGGAGGGGGGGGTGGAATACTTATGGGGTTAGAGGAGGGACGGGTGGATTTTGTGGGAGAATTTGAGTTGGACGCTCTAGGTGGCTTTGGAGGTACGTATGGGGAGTAGTTTTGAATGTTAGATAGGACTCTTGATCTGGCTACAGTGGGTGTGAGAGGAATAGTCTTCATCGCCGATCTTATCATGCCTGCAGAGTGTTCCGGTAATTCCAGTAGTGAAGGCGGGGATAGAAAACAAAGGGAAAGGTCGTCCTCATTTTCCCTAGATGGAGTGGATGTAGCGGGGGGGACCCAAGCCGGGTCCATGGAAGGTGATGAGGGAGTCTTTGGTGGAGACAGAGGTGGTTGAGGAACCCCCAGTACAGGCCTGACTGAGCCTGGAGCAGTGGGGGAAGCTTCACGGGAGCTGTAGGTGGGGAAGGTGCTGCTGAAGATGATGGAGCAGCCACTGCTGCTGCTGTCCACTGCTGCTGCTGAAGATGATGGAGCAGCCACTGCTGCTGCTGAAGATGATGGAGCAGCCACTGCTGCGGCTGTATCCACTGCTGCTGGTGGGTGCTGTATATGCTGATGGCGCTGATGAAGATGTGGCAGCTGCTGATGATGCTGGTGGTGGAGGCGTTGAGCTCTTTCGGAGCCGTGGAGGTGTTGAGTTCTTTTGGAACCTTGGAGGTGTTGAGTTCTTCTTGAATCGTGGAGGTGTGGGGTTCTTTTGAGGCGGTGGGGGTGCAGAGACCTCGGGAGTCGGTGGAGATGGTCGTGATGTCTGTGCCCTTTGCTTCTTCTTTCTCCCTTTCGACGGCTGCACGCGCTGCGCAGGCTGAGGTCTTAGGGCAGATGCAAAGTTATCCATCAACACTTTTACTCCGTAGTTGTTCAGATGTGGGCCTTTTTCTTCAAAAAGCTCGTGCCTATTCCAGAACAGGTTAAAGTTTTCAATGAAGCCAAGTCCTCTGCGTGAACACTCATTGAGTAGGAATGTATTTAGCTGATACAGACGGCTAAACTTCTCCATTTTTCCATCTATATTTGGAAGTGGGCCACTAAGGAAAATTGTTATGTCCATTTTCTTGAGGTCATCCAGTAACAGCGTTAAATCCATTCGTAACTTCTCGCTTGCCTTCTCATAGATATCTACCGCCCCCGTGTGGATCAATAATGTACGCACACCACTGTTCTCAGATAACACTTTAGGCAGAAGAGTTCTTATCTCAGCGACTTTTGCAGAGTGAACTGAGACAGTGAGCATGGACTCCATGTTTACATTTTTCACCGAACCATCTCCGATAAGGACACAGTTTGTCCTTGGTGGAGGCGCTGCAGTTGTTAGCGGCTTTGTTGTTTCAGAAAGGGGTAAAAAGCGGTTTGAAGTCTTCAGAACATTTAGTTGTGGCCTTATTTCACTCCTATTGTCATTCTTAGCTTTGTCAACTTTGGGTTTAGCTCCACAATTGTTCCAATAATTCTCATTGTTGATTTTGGGAAAAGAAATGACGTCATAACTTACATTTCCAGTCTGTCCATTCATCCCATTTTCACTCATTGGAAGAGTCGGGTTAAGTCCCATTTCTGTTTCCACAATAGATATCCGTGTTTGAAGAGATTTGAGCTGATTTTCCAAAGCACAACAGCCGCCGCAGACGCTTCTCCGTCTCTTTCGTCCCGACATGACTAAAGTTGATAAATTCCACAAAGCTGAAGTGTGTAGAAGGAGTAATCCTCGTTTTGTAAATAAAATGATTAAAGGAGAAACAAAAAAATGTAAATAAAATGATTCAAGGAGATTAAAAGGCGAAGCAAAAGCAGAGCCGAGAGACACACGACTGCTCTCTTCAAAAGCAGGAAGCAAGGAAGCAAGACAAGAGTCTTATTTACTTACTTACTCCTCCATACTTGAAGAACATGAGGGACATGTATCACCATAGAACAGAATCAAACCACTTTGTGTGAATTGTGGCCCAAATATCGCAGTACTATCCAAGTCTTTTACTAATTCAATACACTAGTTTGAAGGGGGTCAAAGCCCAGCACCTTGTCTCTGATCCAGGCCTCCGTCTCCTCCACCTTCTGCAGGAACTCCAGCAGGTCCCTGTGGTCCTGGATGGAGCTTCCTCTAAGAGACACAGCTGTCTGCAGATCGTCCCAGTGCAGCTGTAGCGACGCCATGGTGCGGCTCACGTCTTTAGAGCAGATGGGAGATAGGGACAGCAGCCGCTTCCCAGACTGACACACAGACAAGGAATGAAATAACATCTATTAGAAAGTTTGCGTGGTCCATGGATGTATGCTGTGTACAGGCTTAAATGGCTTAAAGGAGGTGGTCTTTTTTGTCTAGTGTCTAGTAGCTCTGTGGAGGAAGAGGCTAGAGATCTCTTATAAACCGTCTCCACATGGAGTAGAGGCCACCAGGGGTACTGCAGCCTAAATCCATATAGACTAGAGGCCACCCACGGTACTGCAGTCTTAATCCACATGGACTATAACAGATTTCCCACATACCTCAGTGTCACTGAAATGACTCGTCCTCAGATACAGAACTACAGCCTTCACACAGGAGGATTCGTGAGGATTCTCAACTTGTCCTCAACTTTTCTTTTAATATCCATTGATTTAATATAAAGCCACACTTTAGTTAAGCAAACTCAGTTCCATGGAGCAGACATCTTGGAGAGACCAAGGGCAGACATCTTGGAGACACCAGGGGCTTGGCGTGGTCACAGAAGCCAAAGGGGTGTGTGTATGTGTGTGTGTGTGTGTGTGTGTGTGTGTGCGTGCGTGCGTGCATGAGTCCGTGTTGTGTGTGTGTGGGTGTGGGAGGGTGTGTGTGCGTGTGTGTGTGTGTGCCTCTCACCTCCAGAACAGTGCGGATGTCCTCTCTATGAGCCTGGATCTCTGACTCAAACGCCTGATGTTTCTGCAGCAGGTGCAGTTTACTCTGTAAGCTGCTCAGATCGGCCTCCTTGCCCTCAGAGAGTTTGTGTGTGCGCTCGCAGATCCACTCTTCTGCCTGAACAAACAAACAAACAAACACACACACACACACACACTCTTGCTGTGATTCCAGGGCCCAAAACCGTCAACAATCAACATTTCTTTGTTTTCTTTCCCATTCACTTAATTTGGTAACTGGCAAACTACTGGTCAGAGCTTCATCCAATCAAGAAGAGCCAGCATTCTTCCCACATGTACTAGATCTCATTTTTTGTGAAAATTTGCAAAAATAACAAAAAAGTGCAAGTGCAATAAAGTGCCTTGGGCTGCACCCCCTTCCCGCCGGGTGCTGCCTCAGTCCTTCACCGCACTAGTCCTCGTTCTACAACCTGAGTCCTGAGCCATGTGGCCTTGGTCCTCGTTCTGTAGCTTAAGTCCTGGATCTACAGCGGGTGTAGATCCAGGAGTCATGGACATTGGTCAACTCCCCCTATGGAACATTACCTGTGTGTTCTATATTTTTTGTGTTTGAACTGTTTGATTCTCTGATCTGTGTTGGCAATTTCAACGGTTTTGTCAAGTCCTTTGGGATAACTACTGATGTAATTTAGGGCTATACAGGAATAAATGTAATTAAACCAAATTACCAGGTTTGCGTCTCTGTGAGGTTGGACCATATTACCAGGTCCGTGTCTCTGTGGGTTTAGACAATATTACCAGGTCTGTGTCTTTGTGGGATTTGACCATTATACCAGGTACGTGTCTCAGTGGGATTGGACCATATTACCAGGTATGTGTGTCTGAGGGATTGAACCACATTACCAGGTCTATTTCTCTGAGGGATTGGACCATATTACCAGGTCTATTTCTCTGAGGGATTGGACCATATTACCAGGTCTATTTCTCTGAGGGATTGGACCATATTACCAGGTCTATTTCTCTGAGGGATTGGACCATATTACCAGGTCTATTTCTCTGAGGGATTGGACCATATTACCAGGTCTATTTCTCTGAGGGATTGGACCATATTACCAGATCTGTGTCTCTGAGGGATTGGACCATATTACCAGGTCTATTTCTCTGAGGGATTGGACCATATTACCAGATCTGTGTCTCTGTGGGATTGGACCATATTACCAGATCTGTGTCTCTGTGGGATTGGACCATATTACCAGGTCTATTTCTCTGAGGGTTTGGACCATATTACCAGATCTGTGTCTCTGTGGGTTTGGACCATATTACCAGATCTGTGTCTCTGTGGGATTGGACCACATTACCAGGTCTATTTCTCTGTGGGATTGGACCATATAACCAAAACTTTGTCTATGTGGTATTGGACCATATTACCATGTCTATTTCTCAGTGGTATTGGACCATATTACCAGATCTGTGTCTCTGTGGGATTGGACCAAATTACCAGGTCTGTGTCTCTGTAGAATTGAGCCGTGAGGTGGTGCAGGTGCAGCTCCTCTCGTCTTCTCTCTGACAGATCTTTGATGATGTGTCTTCGCTTCAGAACAGACATGTATTTGCTCCGGACTCGGCTACTGCTCTCTGAGCTCAGACGGGTCTTCAAACGATCGCTTTGCTCCTTCAGAGATGACAGCTGCAGCACAGAGGAGACCAGTTAGCTCCCGGTATCTCAATTGAGTTAGCTTGTGTTAGCTTGAGTTAGCACATGTTAGCTTGAGTTAGCACATGTTAGCTTGAGGAGCGCATGTTGGCTTGTGTTAACTTTTCTTAGCTCGTATTAGTTTGAGTATTGTTTTTCAACAGATGCAACAGTAAATATTACTTAATTAATCTAACAATCATCCTGGGCATACGTGCACAAACATATGTCAAAATGTTTAAATAGAAAACTCAAAGGTTTTACATCCTCCTGCAGTCACACAAGTTTGACTGTACCATTTAAACTACCCTTCAATGAAAACAATATAAATATATATGAGTCGTGAGTGTAGACGGTGTCACCTTGTCGTCCTGAGAAAGCAGCAGCTTCTCGAAGGCTTCGTGGCGTTTGATCAGAGCCTCGATCTCGTCCACGGAGTTTCCCATCGCCGCGTTCTGCAGCAGCACCTAAAAGAGGTTCAGGGTCCATGAAGCACACAGACCTCACAACAGCAGGGTCTTGGGGCTTCAGTCTAAGTACAGTGATGATCCTGGACATTGGTCATCTGTCCCTAATGGACCAATGGCTCTATGTGTTTTTATCATTGCACTTCCTGTGTTTGAACTGTTTGATTCTCTGACCTGTGTTGGCGAATTGACAGCTTTGTGAAGTCCTCAGAGAAACTACTGTTGTGATGTAGGGCTATACAAGAATTCTGTGTGTGTTACCTCCTGTGATGCAGAGACTTTGTCCAGACTGTGAGCTTCTCTGTAGAACAGTTGTTCCAGATGAATCTGTTCTAAGTTCCTCTGTCTCTCTGTCCACTGCTTCTCCACACGCTCTCTCTCTGCACACACACTCTGCAGCTTCTCCTCCACCTACACACACACACATGTACATACAAGTGAAACTGATCATTATTTCATTAAAGATGGTACTACTTTGCACTATTCTAACCATTTAACTGTGTGCACTAAATATCGGAGCACACAAAATTTACCATAATTTTTCTTTCCCCCACCACCAAAGCAAGCTCTCACCTCCCTCCTGATGCTCCTGTCCATGGTCTGCAGCTCCGCCCCCTGGTCCAGAGTTTGCTGGTACACCTGCTGCCGCTGGTCCATCTGGTGTCGAAGCTGCTGGTGTGCAGACAACAGGAGGTCTGCTGTTGACACGTCACTGATGCTTTCTTCTGCTGCCATCGCTGCTCGGAGTTCCGCACACCAGGACAAGTAATCGTGCACCTACAACATTCAGGATTACAACTATGGGAATTTATGGGAATATACAGGAATTAATGAGAAAGCACTTTTTAGCCTAAAGCACAAAGACTATTGAGCCACATTGGAGCCTGTATTGAGACTGTGTTTGATATCATTTTTAAATTATATTGATTGAATGTTTAAACTGTATAGATCACATCAAACATATTTGTTTAGTTACTAGTAAACTGATAAGTTAGATGCTAATTAAGCTAGCACAACTTGTTTTATCCAGTGGGGGCAGGTCCCCGCTCAAAAGTGGCCAAAATGACGTGCGCTGACATGCTTGCAATACAATACCACCCCGGGCCGATGGGAGTGGACCCGGAATAAGAATTAGCCAATGCTAACATATAGCATTGGTAGACCTCTCAAAAACACATATACAGGATGGACCAAAAGTTGGCTCTTGGCCCAAAGCTCTGTTCCACATGTGTGTCAGTGCTGAGGGGGGTGAATTTCTTTGGACCACTCTAGTTTCCTCGCTGTGAATTTTTTAAGTCACTCGTTTAAATGAATGGGGCTCGTGCCGGCTGACGGCTGACGCATGGGCAGATGCGTTTTTTCACATTTTCCAGCCCCCGCGGCCATTTTGAATCACTCCATTAGTTAGAACAGTGGAGATAGGCCTGACTAGGTCCGTTAATACAGTATATACAGTCTATGGTTTTACCACATAATGCAGATGCTAGCTCCCTCATGTGGCTGTTTTTCTACCCCCTGCAATATTTTTGGAGCTCATTCTACTTCCCATTATGTCAAAACTACTGAAATACTCTGATAGCAACAACATAGCAACCAGAAAGCCAATCAGTCCCCTCTCATTCAATAATAGTGGCTGCATTATCACCGTGTTGAGGAACTGGTGTCTCTGCAGTGCCACGTGAAGCTCCTCCTCTCTGCGATCTGCGTCCAGACGGATTTCCTCCCATCTGTCCATGACTTCTTGCTGCACTTCCTGAAGGCGAAGCTTGAGGTGAGGCGAGCAGAGATCCAAGATGGCGTCTGTAGCATTCAGCTGTTCCTGCAACTGTGGAAAATCACGGGGAATGAGGTCTACTATTTAGGGCTGTTCCAGAGACTGTATACAGATGGACAATTCTAACATAGACTGTATACAGATGGACAATGCTAACATAGACTGTATACAGATGGACAATGCTAACATAGACTGTATACAGATGGACAATGCTAACATAGACTGTATACAGATGGACAATGCTAACATAGACTGTATACAGATGGACAATGCTAACATAGACTGTATACAGATGAACAATGCAAACATAGACTGTATACAGATGGACAATCTGGACACTCTAGTTTAATAAAGCCATTTAAGGAATTGCTCATGGATTCCAACCAATAAGGTTTGATGTGGTGTATCTGGTACCTGGTGTTCTGTGGCCGCCAGCTCCTGCAGAAGTGTCTGATGTTTCTTCAGCTGAGACTTCACTCCTCTGAGGTCTTTGGCCACAGAGTCAGGGATGCTCTTCTGTCGCTCCTTTAAAGAACACAACATTTTATTGTTTCCCCACACGAGACACAGAACAAACTGGTGCATCTCAGACCTTGTACCATTCGTTCACGCTCTCATTACATTTGGACCAGAGAGCAGAGAGAGACTAAAGAGACCAGTTGGAGATCAGAGAGAGATCAGAGAGAAACCAGAGAGACCAGAGAGAGAGATCTGAGAAAGACCAGAGGGAGGCCAGAGAGACAAACAAACCAGTCATATGAGTTTTAAACATGAAATAAATAGACCAACTTTGATGAGAGCCAGTGCGTCGCTGAGCTCCTGGTAGAACCTCAGACACGACTCCTCCTTCTGCAGGTGGTTCTCTCGCTCTGAGGCTATGGCCCTCAGCTCTTCCCAGCATGCACTGCACACAGGAGAACCACAAAGCACAGGTAAATCTGGGTCTGTGTTGTAATCGAGCCTGTAGTTTTATGATACAATGACTAAACAACAATAGAGAATGGGACAAACATTTAATAAAATGTTCTTAGAAGATTCTATAGTCATCCTCTCAAATACCAAACATCTAATGTTGATACCTAAATATGAGAAATGATTAGGACCAGAGATAGACTCGAGCCAGAGAGAGACCAGAAATCAAGACCAAAGAGACCCAGAAAGATCCGAGAAAGAGAGACCAGAAAAAAACAGAGAGAGACACCAGAGAGTTCCCATAGTTATCATAGTCCTCAGGAACATCTCAGTGAGTTATAGAACCTGAGCTCCTGCAGCTGCTCCTTCACTGCGCTCCTCTCCGGATGCTTGTTCCGGATCATTCTGTTCCCAGAGTCTCTGCACATCTGCAGACGCTCCTCACACACGTCCAGATGTTTGAGGAACCCGTCCAACTTCCCCCTCAGCAGCTGGAACCACAAGAACCGTTATGGAAGAGAGAGAGACGATTTGGAACCACAAGAGAAACAAGAAAGGGAGACCAGATAGAGACCAGATAAAGACCAGTGTAGAGTAGGGCCATGTAGTTTATAGACAAAGAACAGAGCGACCAGAGACCAGGATTGGCCTCCTGCTGGTGCCCAGGGTCAAGACTAAACATGGGAAAGGAGCATTTCAGTTCTATGCAGCTAACATCTAGAACAGTCTTCTATTGAGTCACAGTTTAATATCATACAGACAGATGTGAGCAAACACACAAGTGCAGATTGTTGTTCTTCAAGGGTACCTCCAGGTGCTGCTGGCTGCTGGGCTCCTGGACCTCCACGCTCTGTCTCTGCTGGTTCATCCAGTCCTCCAGCTCCGACGCCTCGTGTTTGAACTCATGGAGAGAAAGCACTTCCTGCAACCGCTGACCCCTGCCACAAGAGGGCGCTAAACTGTACAGATCTTGACAGATTCTCACATACAAAAACGGTGAGATTACATGGTCTGGTCTTTGGTACGTGGTTTGGAATCTGGGCTTTAGTCTTAGATCTGAGGTCTGTGGTCTGGTCTGAGGTACCTGATCTGGTATCATGTATCAGGTACCTCATCTGGTGGTCTCTGGTCTCTTGTATCTGGCACCTGGTGTGTGCTGTAGTACCTGGTGTGTGCCTGGTGCTGTAGTACCTGGTGTGTGCCTGGTGCTGTAGTACCTGGTGTGTGCCTGGTGCTGTAGTACCTGGTGTGTGCCTGGTGTTGTAGATTCTGGAACAAGTCCTCCAGGTGGCATGATTTCCTGGTCAGTTCTTCCTGGTTCCATTTCCTCTGAACCTTCTGCAGCTGCTGCTCAAGAGCCTCCACCTCTGTCTGCAACACCTCCACCTGCCCCAGCAGCACCTGAGGACCAACCAGGACTGAAGCAGCAGGCATACCACTGCCAATCGTCTCAGCAGCAGGCATACCACTGCCAAGAGGCTCAACAGGAGGCATACCAATGCTAAGAGGCTCAGCAGGAGACCAGAAACCAGAGGTCGGACTGGCCGCCTGCTGGGACTCCGAGGAGCACAGGGACTGGCCTCCTGCTGGTCTCAGAGTCAGGAATAAATATAGAGAGGCAGCATTTCACATTTATGCAGCTAAAATCTGCAACAATCTTCCTGTACTGTACATTTACTCTCATTTGTTTATTTATTCCAAACATAAATGAGACAGTTTACTTTGACTTGCCTTTTGTATAAATTGTGCTATACCAATAAACTTGCCTTGTCCTGCAGTAATGAGGGTACAGACCTGGTGTTTGGAGATGTGGCTCTGTGTGGCTCCTGAATCCTTCCCATAATCCCCAGTCGACACTAAATTCAGAGCTTCAGTGATTCTGGACTCCAGCTCAGAGCAGTCAAGCAGAAGCTGCAGAAGAGAGGAGAGAGAGGAGAGAGAGAGAACAGAGGACAGAGGAGAGAGGGAGGACAAAAATCAAGGAGAGGGTGAAGTTTATCACTATGACGCTCAGAGCAAATGAACAGAATTCTGGAAAAGATTTTATTTATCATTACGTTAATCATTTCTATCTTTATTTGCAAAAACTGGTGAATATAACTGAAATACACCATCTCTGGTCTCTTTCTGGTCTCTCTCTTGTCTCTCTTCTGGTCTATCGCTCTCGTCTCTCTCTACATAGTCTTTTTCACTGGTCTCTCTCTCTCTCTTTACATATTCTTTCTGACTGGTCTCTCTCTCTCAATCACTGGTCTCTCTCTTGTCTCTCTTCTGGTCTATCGCTCTCGTCTCTCTCTACATAGTCTTTCTCTCTGGTCTATCTCTCGCTGGTTTCTCACTGGCTCTGCTCTGTCTCTCAGGTCTCTCTGGTCTTTCTCTCTGGTCTCTGGTCCTGTGTCCTGAATTTTCAAAGACCACGTTTAGCAGTGATTTATACTGTAAATTTTGTGTGCTCCCTTTGTGCTCTCACTCCTGTACTTCAGTGAGGCAAAAAGGTATTTAGTCAGCCACCAATTGTGCAAGTTCACCCACTTGCACAATACAGATTGAAGGAATGGGCCAAAATACCAGCAACAGTGTGTGAAAACCTTGTGAAGACTTACAGAAAACATTTGTTTGTTTTCCAACAATATGTGCAAATAAATTCTTTCATTCTGTCTCATAGTTGACGATTACCTATGATGAAAATTACAGGACTCCCTCATCTTTTTAAGTGGGAGAACGTGCATAATTGGCAGCTGACTAAATACATTTTTGCCCCACTGTAGAAGTGCACTACAACAATGACATTACCCCACTGTGGGACGAATAATGGCTCTTTGATCTGATCTGACCCAACTCAATCCTCACCTGTTCTCTGGTCAGGGCTCGATGCAGGTGATTGGCTCGTCTGTTGCAGGCCTCCTCTAGCTCCTCCCACTCGGCCTTCAGATGGTCACACCTATGTCATATGTCAGTCACACAAAGCAGGAAGCAGGAAAAAAAACAATGAGGAGAGAGAAGAGAGACCTGTCCCTGATGACTGAGGCACTGGATTGGTGACTATTTGCCAGGCTCCTCCCCTTTTTCAGGACTGAGTTCATGTGTTTGCTGTGGGCTTTCACCTCCGCTTGCAGCTCCTGGAAACAGAAACAAGAGTCAGATCGTTCTCTGGTCTCTCTTTTTGATCTCTCTATTGCTGGCCTCTTTCTGGTCTCTCTCTCTGGCCTCTCTCTCTCCAGTCTCTCTCTGGTCACTTTTTTTGCTGTCTTTCTCTGGTGTCTCTCTCTGGTGTCTTTCTCTGGTGTCTCTTTCTGGTCTCTCTCTCTCTGGTCTATCCCTGGTTTCTCTTTCTGGTCTCTCTCTCTAGTCTCTTTCAAGTCTCTCTCTGGTCTCTCTCTGGTCTCTCTCTCTGGTCACTCTCTCTGATCTCTCTCTCTCTCTCTCTCTGGTCTCTCTCTGGTCTCTCTCTCTGGTCTCTCTCTCTGGTCACTCTCTCTGATCTCTCTCTCTCTCTCTCTCTGGTCTCTCTCTCTGGTCACTCTCTCTGATCTCTCTCTCTCTCTCTCTCTGGTCTCTCTCTGGTCTCTCTCTCTGGTCACTCTCTCTGATCTCTCTCTCTCTCTCTCTCTGGTCTCTCTCTCTGGTCACTCTCTCTGATCTCTCTCTCTCTCTTTGGTCACTCTCTCTGGTCCACCTCTTTGGTCTCTCTTTGGTCACTTTCTGGTCTCTCTCTATGGTCTCTCATACATACGGACACAGACACACACACACCTTGTGTTTGTGGCTGAGGCTGAGCATCACAGATAGACCCTTGTCCGGAGTGTCTCTTTTGCACACGCTCAGTCGGTCCCAGATCCAGCTCAGCTCCAGCTCCACGTCATGAAGGAACTCAAACAGAAGAACTGAGGCCTCTAGCACTAGGCGCCGCTGCTCCAGAGGCTTCTGCAGACTCCTGAACCTGAGAAGAGTCAGTCTCAGTCTCGGATTTAGAGCCTCAGTCCTGGATCTACAGTCTCAGTCCTGGGTCTACAGTCTCAGACCTGGGTCTACAGCCTCAGTCCTGGGCTGGAGATCAGGATATTCAAATGAAAAAAACGGTTTCTCATTTTTTACCCACTAGGTTTTTTGTTGAGTTGTTCCTGATAATAAGTTAATGATAATAATTGATAATAATTTTCTTGCAGGCTAGATTTGGTCCACGAACCTGAGTTTGACATGCCTGCTCTATACAGTATTTCATGTAGGATTCTCCAGAACATGATAATAGTGAACAATAGTGAACCTGCTTCTGTGTCTGCAGATATTCTCTGCGGGACCAGCGAGAGCTCGGACCAGCAGCATGTTCCTGTTTTCAGTCACACACTTTAAAAGACATAAATAGCTCTGAAGTGTAAGTGAAAGCTGAGGCCCCACACAGCGCTCTGTATTGTGCATAATGGCGTCCAAAAGCCTAGCATTAAAAACGTGGCTAAGTGCCTGGTTATTATGTCTCGCAGCGTGAGGCGTTTGTGAGGACCATAATAGAGCAGTCAAATTTGACAGCTGGACGCCTCCATTAGCTGCTTTACTGCCCAGAAACCAGGAAGAACCAGAGGATCAGCGAGATATACAGACACCAGAGAACCAGTAAACCTGTAAGAGTGTATGAGTCTAAAGCTAAATGTGCACTTCATCTTTCCCCAGAGGGCAATCCATCCTCTGCATCTAACACATCCTGATGTCACTCAGGCCTCTGTTAGGAGCAGTGTTCACCGCCAGGAACCCATCTCCAGATGTTGATGCACGGCTTGGTCAGGACCGGAGCTGGAGGATTTTACCGATTTTTCAGTGATAGGGGAAATCAGGATGAGACCCTGGGGAAGACCCAGGACAAGTTGGAGGGACTATGTCTTCCAGCTGGCCTTGGAACACCTCAGGGTCCTCCCGGATGAGCTGGAGGAAGAGTGTGTGGATAGGGAAGTCTGGGTGTCTCTGCTTAGACTGCTGCCCCCGCGATCCGGGCAACGGATGAATGGAATGGGAAATCAGAGTAGAAACGGGTCAGAAAGACCCTGTTCCAACTGGCATTCGAACCCAGAACCTTCTTGCTGAGAAGCGAGAGCGGCGCGCTATCTACTCATGGTGGATGTGTACGTCATCACACTGTGCCACCTGTGTATGTGTGTGTGTGTACTTACAGCCCTAGGTGTGTGTCTGTGTCCTGCAGAAGTCTCTGAGAGTCGAAGTGAGTTGAAGCCAAACGTTTGACTCGTTTCACAATGGAATCCATTTTCTCATGAAGTTCTGAGGCCTCCTGCTCCAGCTGCTGGTGCTCCTGCTCTCACAACACACATAAATATGACGCACAACACACACCAGAGACACACACATCTGTTCCACTGACACTGGGCACAGGTTCACAGTTTGTAAGTCACTTCACTGTGATGTTGATTGATTCAACGTGCTCCTGCTCTAAAATGGAACACAGGAGAATGGTGGAATTCTGAGTCAGGAGGTAGTAGGACATGTCTGCCAGCTAGTGGCAGGAGTTTGAAGTTTGCGGAAAAAATTTATAAAAACACAAATAAAAGGCATTTCTTGTTGACAACATTTTTCTCAAGTTTCCGACCTCTATGTTTTATAGTTTTGATGCAGTTGCCCTTCTTCATAAACTAAAGCCATTTGGCCTTATTTGGAACACTTTGTGCCAATATGTGCCAAACAGTTTAACTCAAATGTTAGGTCATCCATCACGATAAAAAACTAATGTTTTTGTTTTGGTACTTCATTAAAAGCTACCTTTCTGTATGATTTTGTTGCAGTTTTTCAAAGTTATTGTAGTGTAATTCTTTGTGTATCTTGCCTTGTCTGTCACTTTTTAAAAGTCAGGGGTCAAAACCAAGTCCCACCTCTTGTTTGAAAGCTATCGTCATAGGCTGTTTAGTCCTATTACTCATTTGGGAAAATATTGTCATCCAAACAAGACAGGATACACCGAACACCAAAGGCTGCAGACTTGTTTACAAACCAGGCTTTTATATTTAAAAAAAACTAGAGCACGGATCGCCTTAACCAAGGTCTCATTGTTTAGCTAAGATGAAGAGGAACACAAGCATGAGATTTGTTGAGGGCCAGATCCAGCGTAGTTTTAGCAAAGGTTAAATATGAATAATAATAATAACACCACTATAAACAGTGTCAAACACAGATAAAGATAGTGTTGTTATGATCCTCCTTCTGTTTTCACCTTGAGCAGCTGTCGACTGGAGCGGAGGTCGTGGCCTTTGGCTGCGTTGTTCAGCATCCACTGAATGGCCTCAATCTTCAGCTTGGCGTCCTGAAAGCATCATGTCATTGTTAAACATGTGGACAATGCTTCTTCTGCTGTGACTGTGAAAACGTATAAGATTCCAGTCTGAGTTTAGCAATAATCTCTCTGTGATCTCTGGAACAATCCACAGGAAACAAAAACTGTCAGAAAGTTCCACATCTTCTTTGCCAGACCACATAAACTATTTCAATCTGGAAAGACTACAAGACACAAAATGCATTTGAATGTTTTATTCATTGATTGTTTGGCACCCTAGGCCCCGGTAGCGGTACTAGGTCTGCGAAGCTCCTTGATTGTGCGCGCTTAAGATCCCTCGAGACCTAGGTACTGGTGGTGGCGTTAGGACAAGCAGGGGAGAAAGCGCAAGCATGAAGAAGAGGAGGACGAGGGGAGGCGTTGGTAGCGAGGCTTGAGAGGGCTGTGGTATGAGAGTTTCCGCTTTTAGGTTGCTGGCTTGGCAGGCATAGGTCAGCAGGGAATAGGCTTTGCTGTGCGATATGCCAAAGGTAAGAAGGCCGGCCTGGATGGGATGGGCTGCCGCAGGTAGTCTACCAAAGATTGAATTTCTGCAGGCTGCATTTTCACTCTGGTCTCTCTTTGGTCTGTCTGTTGGTGTCTCTGCTGGTGTCTCGGTGGTCTGTCTGCTGGTGTCTGTCTCTCTGGTCTCTTTCTGGTCTCTCTCTCTGTGGTCTCTCTGTGGTCTCTCTGTGGTCTCTCTGTGGTCTCTCTGTGGTCTCTCTGTGGTCTCTCTGTGGTCTCTCTGTGGTCTCTCTGTGGTCTCTCTCTGTTCTCCCTCTCTGTGGTGTCTCTATTGTCTCTCTCTGGTCTCTCTGTGGTCTCTCTCTTGTCTTTCTCTCTCTGGTCTCCCGGTCTGGTCTCTCTCTCTGGCTCTCTGGTCCCTCTCCCTGGTGTCTCTCTGCTGGCGTTTCTCGCTATTGTCTCTCTCCTGGTGTGTGTCTGCTGGTGTCTCTCTGCTGGTGTCTCTGTACCTGGAGTAGGTCCATCAGTTGCTCCTGCTGTCCTGCTTGTCTCAGCTTGTCTCCTCTCTCCTTCATCTGCTCCTCCAGCCTCCTCCAGCGGTTCCTCAGCTGGGTGCACTTCCTGCTGAGGCTCTGTGTGTGGTCCTGGAGCTCTGACTGCAGCCGCTGCCCCATCTGCAAACACAATACTGACCGTTACACAGGGCCTCAAGGACAAGGCGGCTAAGGAAATACAAAGTAAAGACTCTAAAACGCATACTAACTCAACCTATGTCATTCAAATCTTCATTATTTTCAAATCGTGCAGCAACCCTCCTCCTCCCATCACCGCCTCAACTGCTACATCAGCTTTTCAACCCTGAGCTCCCACCGCCAGGGTCTGGGATTTAATTAATTCATTCATTGTGTGTTCTGTATACTGTATCTGCTGGAGGTACATATGAATTTCACTGCATTTAAAGTGTATGTGATGATAATAATAATTATAATGAACTAATATATTGCAGCAAATTCCAGAGACTATGAACTTATGAATAATTTAGCCCAAGTTTCCAAGTTGTAAATCACAGACCTGCAGCAGAGAATCCAGGCGGCTCCTGTTCGCCTCCATCTCCTTCTCCAGAGCCTCGTGCCGCTTCAGTTTGTAAAGGACGTTTGTCGGATCACGGTACGATTCGTCTTCAGCCACTTTAGACTTTTCCTCCATCCACAGCAGCAGCTCCTCCGCATCTCTGAGGAACTCCTGAACATAGAGACACAGCTCTAACATGCAGCTCTAACATGCTCTCTCCTGGAAAGTAAGAACTGCAGCTTTATTACATTTAGGCTCTTACTTTCCATGGGGTCCCTAAATAAAAGTAGGAGTTAAGTCTGAAATGAACAGTTTGCAGAGAAAGATTTGTTCTAATAAGACAAAAAACAGTGTGTCTGATTACTAGACTCTTTCTCTTTCAAACAAAATGATTTAAGAAAAGTTAGATACCCCAGCTTTACGATAATATTTCAAAACACCAAACGCTAAAGTGGAAAGAGTTTTTGTCACCTGGTACTTGTGTGCGTTGACCAGCTCAGCTCTCCTCTGGTGGCTGCTGTCGTTTAGTCTGAGCTGGGCCTTCTGTATGGTCCTACTTCTCTCTCTGATACTGCACACAAACACACACTCAGAGACCAGAAGCAGACACCAGAGAGAGACCAGAGAGAAACCAGAGAGAGAGACTAGAGAGAGAGGCCAGAAAGAGGCCAGAGCGAGATCAGAGAGACTAGAAAGAGACCAGAGAGAGACCAGAGGGAGACCAGAGAGAAACCAGTGAGAGAGACTAGAGAGAAAGGCCAGAGAGAGATCAGAGAGACTAGAAAGAGACCAGAGAGAGACCAGGGTGAGAAGAGAGAGAGATCAGAGAGAGACCAGAGAGAGAAAGACCAGAGACCAGAGATAGAACAGAGAGAGAACAGAGAGAGACCAGAGAGAGAACAGAGAGAGAACAGAGTGAGACCAGAGAGAGACCAGAGAGAGAACAGAGAGAGAACAGAGAGATGGACCAGAGAGAGACCAGAGCGAGACCAGAGAGAGAACAGAGAGAGAACAGAGTGAGACCAGAGAGAGACCAGAGAGATGGACCAGAGAGAGACCAGAGAGAGACCAGAGCGAGACCAGAGAGAGACCAGAGAGAGACCAGAGAGACAGATCAGAGAAGAGTGATGAACCAGGGAGAGACAAGAGAGAGGTCAGAGAGAGAGCAGAGAGAGAGATCAGACTTACTGTGTGGAGGCGTAGTGCTGCTCCTCCACCAGACGCTGGCAGCGTTGAGTAAACAATTCCACTCTCAGGTCCAGAGCACGGATTAGCTCTTGCAGCTCGTCATGACGCTTCAGCAACCCTTGCACACTGTCCACGGAGTCCTGAACACACACACACACAGACACACACACACACACACACACTGTAACAGACTATAAAACGTCAACACACGAACAATGTAGGAAAGACATCAAACTTCCTTCTTTTAAAATAAGTCTTCTAAAGTCACAGCCCAGAGCACCAATGACCAGAGAGAGGCCAGAGAGAGGGACAAAAGAGATACCAGAGAGGCCAGAGAACATCAGGCTGCCCCAGGGACTACAGGTGGAAATTAGCATCTTTGCATCTGGTACAATGCATCTCTCCCTTGTGTTATTGGGCGGCACGGTGGCTGAGTGGATAGCACTCTCGCCTCTCAGCAAGAAGGTCCTGGGTTCGAATCCCGGTTGGACCAGGGCCTTTCTGAGTGGAGTTTGCATGTTCTCCCCGTGTCTGCGTAGGTTTCCTCCGGGTGCTCCGGTTTCCCCTACCACTAAAAATATGTGCAATAGGTCTGGCATGTGCCTCCTGTACTGGCACCCCATTCCCAAAAATAACAATTGTGAACCGCTTTGAGACTCCGATGTGCAGTGAAAAGGCGGTATATAAATAAAGATTACTTACTTACTTACTTATTGTTTAATTGTACACTGTCCCTGTTCAAACAAAGTACATACCATATCAGAGAGATAGACCAGAAAGAGAGACCAGAAAGAGACCATAGAGAGACCATAGGGAGGCCGTAGAAAGAACATAGAGATAAGAGAGAGACTAGAGAGAGACCAGAAAGAGACCAGAGAGTCTAGACCAGAGATGGACCAGTGTTTTGGATGTGGGAACATGCAGTAGAATATTCTTACCCCCAAATCCTTGACACGGAGTCGGGCTTCATGTCCCGACAGCGCTGCCTCGATGCGGTCCGCTTCCTGGTTCAGTCGGTGAAGCTCCACCCCTTCTTCCAGGTGTTGTCTCCTTTTGGTCCACAGTTTTTCCAGTTTAATCCAGTCAGATTTGAGAGAGTTCAGCGACCCTTGGATGTCCACGTTTTCAGATTTACGCAGAGATTTGGCCTCAGCCTCCATCTCCTGCAGCCTGAAAACACAGCACAGATACTTTTGTGTGATCATTGTTCTTTAAAGCAGGGGTACCTATTTTTCAAAGCACAGAGAATTGATCAATGTAATAAAATAGTTATAACTGGTTTACAAGACTATTTCTGGAATTTCTGCTGCTCGGTGACGGCCTCAAAGCTCTGTGGAGAGTGTGTTGGTCACTGAACAGCATCATGAAGGCCAAAGAGATACCAGAGAGGTCAGAGGTCAGGGAGGAAGTAGGAGCCAAGATTAAAGCAGTGTTAAGATATCGAAATATTTTCCAAGCTGTTAACATCTCACAGAAACGTCTCTAGTGTTTTCTAGTTTCTCTGTAATCTCTCTCCCTGGTCTCTCTCTCTGGTCTCTCTCTCTGGTCTCTTTCTGGTCTATGTCCCTGGTCTCTCTCTAGTCTCACTCTCTCTGGGCTCTCTGTGGCCTCTCTCTGGTCTCTCTTTGGTCACTCCCTCTGGTCACTCCCTCTGGTCACTCCCTCTGGTCTCTCTCTCTGGTCTCTCTCTCTGGTCTTTTTCTCTCTCTGGTCTCTGGCTCACTATATTATCACTGATGTTTATTCTGCTCATATTCTTCGCTAGTACAAGTACAATATACACATTTGTAAATACTTTTGAACCAAGTGCAATTATAGCTCCAGAGTTTATTTTATTTCATTCTACTCTATTTTTACCATCTATCTTATTTTAATTATATTCTATATTATCTTAAATAATAGACTATTTGATGTGTGTAATCTGAGTGCTATTTTTTTCTTTGTTTCTCTGAGGTAATGTGCGCAACGATGACGCTGACATTTCTCCACTGTGAGACAAATAAAGGAATATCTTATTTATCTTATGGAATGGAGTGGAATAATTAACAGGACATGGAAGACTGTTTCATGGCTAATGGTTGGGGATGAAAGTATAATCAATCTCTATTTATAGATGTATGTAGTACTGGCGAGAGTGAATCAATGTGTAAGTAGTGCGCCCTTCACTGGACAAACCAGCTGGAAAAACCAACAGTGGGTGCTGCGAACATTCGGCTGTCGCAGCCCCAGTCATTTCGGGAGATTTTTGTGTCATTGTTCCATTTGTAATACATAAGTACAGATTAGTGTGGAGTGAGCCCTCTCTCTGGTCTCTCTTTCTGGTCTCTCTCTTGTTTCTCTTTCTTGTCTCTCTCTGGTCACCTGTCGTGTTGTTGGTCTAGTTCCTCCCTCAGCTCTTGATGCTGTCCAATCAGAGCCAGGGCTGATGCGACGTCAGAGCCCGTGTCGGCCAATCGGAGGCGGTCTCTGGCTGACTCCGCCCACAGCTGCAGTTGTTTGGACTGAAACAGGAAACTGTGCAGACGCCGTGTTTCGACCAGGTGAGTCTGTCTATCAGCCGCAAGATTCTTCACCTGAAATAAACATATACCTACATTTGGAGGAACCAACAATATCTAAACATCTGTAGGAACTAAACAATGGGCCTCATTCACAAATAACTTCGTAAGAAACTTCTCAAATTTCTTCTCAAGTTGTCCTTAAGTAGATTTCTAAGAAGACCCTACGTGGGATTCATCAACGCACTCGTAAGCCGCTGAATTGTTCGCAGCTGTTCTCTCAAATTGATGAATCCCATTTCCTCGTAAGTACAGCGCGCGTGCCAGGTGCTTCATTAGCATAGGTACTTAGCATAAGTAACCACCCATTAATGCCCATAAAAGGGACTGCAGGGCCGTGTGCAGACGCCAGAGGAAACAGCAACAGGCCTAAAGCAAAGAGTTACACGGAGCAAAAGAGTCACCCTTTTTTCTTCTTTTGCCAGACTGAGAATAAAGTTATAAAATGTTGACTTAAAAGTCGATATATTATGAGAATAAAGTTGAACTAGCAAAATTATGGGATTAATCTAAGAATATGATGAGATTAATCTCAAAATGTTATGAGCTTAATTTAAAAATTTATTATGTATTATTTTAAAGATTAATCTCAAAATGTTTTGAGATTAATCTCAAAATGTTTTGAGATTAATCTCAAAATATTTTGGACCCTGTGAGGAGATTCAGCGCGGACCAGCGCTGAGACCAATGCAGACCCGAAGAGAGACTGGAGTGACCAGCACACAGAAACCAGCGCGGACCTATAGGAGAGACCGCATAGACTGTAGTGACCTGACTGGAGAGACCGGTGCGCAGAGACCAGCGCGGACCGAAGAGAGACCGCATAGACCAGACTTGAGAGACCAGCGCGGACCCGTATGGATCCAGGAGCATGCAGCACGGACCCGTATGGAGAGACCAGTGCAGACCCGTCTAGAGCCATGGGAGAGACCAGTGCAGACCCGTCTAGAGCCATGGGAGAGACCAGTGCAGACCCGTCTAGATCCATGGGAGAGACTAGTGCAGACCCGTTTAGATCCATGGGAGAGACCAGTGCAGACCCGTATAGATCCTAGGAGAGACCAGCGCAGAGACTCAGCGCGGACCCAGTAACCTCCTGCAGCAGCAGTATATATGCCGTTGTTCTGTGGCCCGTGGATAAAGAAATGCCCCCTATAAATAGGAAGGGGTCACTAATACACGGCAAGATTTCCAATGTATTTGATAAAGCGTTGGCACATTTCATTTCAAAATGAATTAAAAAGTAGGCCAGATCTGCAGTGAAAAAGGCGGTATATAAATAAAGATTACTACAAATAAATAAATACATACATTGATATGACGGAAATATCACTGGAATGTTGTATTTTTATTAAACTTCACCAAAGAGGACAACCCCGGCGTGTGAACATGTCGGCACTGAATGCGTACGAGTGCTCCTGAGGACTCGTAGGATTTGTACTTGCCCAAGAGAAATTCTGGTTACGAGAAAAATTTGTGAATGCCACTTTCTTCGTAAAAACCTCGTAAGTAGGATTTACGTACAAATCTGTTCCTAAGAACCGTTCGTGAATGAGGCCCAATGTCTTTACAGATATTTTTACAGATAATAGGAAAAAACAAACTGTAGGACTCACATCTGTAGGAATCACACCAAAATGTACAATACAATACCGGGTTTATAGTCTTGGGGCACGTTTCTGTATTTCTGTTGCTTCTTTGATCCAGCGTCAGTGTTTGTTGTCCTCAGTCCCTTTAATATTTCCTTTGTCTCGGTCCATACTATAGTTCTCTATTATATCATGATGGTTTTTACTGAGTATCCTCCATGCCTTCCTTCTCACCTGTGTCAGCAGCTGCTCCAGAGCCTTCACCTCCTGCATGAGGGAGGCGCTCTCCTCTGGACAGCTCTCCTGCTTCCTACAACAGAACATACATCAGTACAGAGCTGAGCAGAGGCTGAGCGCATAAAGACAAGAACACATTTGTAGCACCAGGAGGAAGTGTCCGAGCATAGACTGTGTATGAGGAGAGGACCGAGTGTGACATCACCACAGTGTTATCCGTACTGTAGAAGAAGCTGATTTGAACATAAGCTAGAGCCAAAAGCAATTAGGAAAGGCTCTTGAGGTACTGTACTGTATGTGCGTGTTTGTGTGCGTGCGTGCGTGCGTGCGTGTGTGTGTGGATAATTGCGCATGCGCACATGCATGCGTATCTGCAATTAGTTTACTTTTGAATGTGCTGGAAACAGCAGAGAGTCCTGAGCCGCTCTGAAACAGTTGTTGTTTAGCGTTTTACAATCGTTATTCTTTGTGTTTTTTTTAGCTGTAAATGTTACTGCAGTTCATGGTTTTGCACTGAATCAGATCAGAGCATAGAGGCTGGTCCCAACCAAGCAGACCAAGCAGAAATCCACAGGGAGGCCGTAGAAAGAACATAGAGAGACACTCTGAACCAGAGCAGAGAAAATGGTCAGAACCAAGCAGACTCTGCAGACATCAACCAGAGGAAGAAGCTCATCACCAGTGGCTACTCCACCTCCACTGCACTCACTTTTGTTTGTTTGGATGGATGTGTTTCTGCTGCTAGACACCCGTATTTCTCCAACAGGGATCAATATCTATCTATCTACCTATGTCTATCCATGTGTGTCTGTCTGTGTGTGTGCGTGTGCGTGTGCGTGCGTGCGTGCGTGCAAATGCGTGTGTGGTTGTGTTACATTTTGGCAATGTTTTTGAGGTATGCGATCTTGGCCTGGAGGACGTGGATGTCCCTCTGCGCCTGGTTCTGGGCCTCCTCTGCATGTTTTAGAGACAGCGCCCCCATGTGGGCATCCACATGGTCCTGGCCGTATCCCTGTCTGGAGAGCTGGTCCTGGTCTGGTCCCAGTCTGGAGACCTGGTCCTGGAGCTGGGCCCTGGTCTCATCACAGCTCCGGAGGAAGGACTGGACGTCAGCAGAACTCAGAAGCTCACGGCCTTTGTCCTCTTTCAGCCGCTGCAGACGCTCCCACCTGCAAAACCACAACCACACACACACACACACACACACAGACAGACAGATACACATACACACACACACAACCACAGACAGACAGACACACATACACACACACACACAACCACAGACACACACCAAGCAGACCGACGTTACCATTCACCCATCCATGCAACTGTTAAAACACAAGATAAAGTCCTGTTTTGGCTGCGTCACTCACTCTGGTCTCTAACTCTTCTCTGGCATCTCTGGTCTCTCTCATGAGTCCTTCTCTGGTCTCTCTAGTCACTCTCTCTGGTCCATTTCTAGTCACTATCTCTGGTCCATTTCTAGTCACTATCTCTGGTCTCCCTCTCTCTGGCCTCTCTGTCTATTCCCTCTCTCTGGTCTCTCTGCCCTCTCTCGTCTCTCCTCAAGCAAACACATCATGTCCTCTGTATCACACTGTTTGGACAACTTACAGTTTACATATAAAAGTCGGAGAAGCACAGAGGACGCAGCCATCTCCCTGTTTAACACTGAAGTCGAACATCTCCAGGCCTCTGACCACTATGCTAGAATTCTCTTTGTGGATTTCACGTCAGCTTTTAACTCTATGCAAGTACATATTTTATTGCGCCGACTTATGGACCTTGGTGTTAATGGAGGCATAATCAAATGGGTCAGAGACTTTTTATCTAATCGTCCTCAAAGAATAGTGCTTGGTTCTGATATCTCAGAAGTGACTGTCTTAAATACAGGTGCGCCTCAAGGCACAATTCTGTCTCCTTTGCTCTTTTTCAATTATACTAATGCATTTCAGTTCATGAGGAATCTTTTAAACTTTTTAAATATGCCGATGGTATGGCTCTTGTTGCTTTACTACAGAAAGGGAACACTGTATTGGAGAGTCTTTATTTTAATAATTTGTCCATGTTACAGCAGTGGTATGTGGACAGCTTTTTAGAAATCAATGTTTTGAAAACAAAAGAGCTCATTGACTGCCAGCCTATTTCAGAACAGGTACTCCCATATTGCCAGCCGTTTCTGATGATTTTCATGGATTTTTCAAGACCCACAGAATATTGTGTACTATGACTATCTGAAATCCAAAACATATTCTGAAAGAATGGACTGTCTACTTTTATCAGCAAAAAGAATTTTGTTTCTAGCTTGTTTCGTTCCCCTGTAATCCCCAGTTGAGTAGAGGTAAGTTTTACTGAAATCACCAGAAAGCTGAGAAAAAAGAGGCACAACATGTGCATCTGGCTGTTTTAAAACCATTCTGAGAGCAATGCTGCCACCTGCTGGCTAGATAAAATATTGCTTCAAGCCAATCCCCATACATATTAGATACAATAGACATCTGGGAACGTGAAAATAGCGGAACACGCAATTGAAGTGTTAACACATCAATGGCAGACAACGTTACTATTTGGTTTGACGTGTTAACAATGGCGGTCAATGAGTTATGCACGTTGATAAAGAGACATCGATAGAAGCGAAGATTCATGGTGCCAATGTTGAGATGGTTGATGACTTCAAATACCTTGGCACGTACATAGATGGGAGACTAGCCTTTTGTACGAACACAGACTTCATTTTCAAGAAATGCTCACAACGACGGTGTGAGTCGTTCTATCCTTGAGACGGTCTACAAGAGCCTGGTGGAGAGCATCCTCACTTTTAACATGCTGATGTGGTTTGGCAACCTCAGCATGAAGAACCATAACAAACTCCAAAGGATCGTGAACCAGAGCTCGAAGATCATTGGGCAGCCACAAAGATCTCTTCAGTGTTTTTTTGAGGAGCGCTTGGGAAAGAAGGCTGAGCTCATCATTAATGATGCTTCCCATCCACTAAACCCAAAGTTTGAACTTCTGCCGTCAGGACGGAGATATCGAGTGATATCAGCCAAGAAGAACTTTTTTTAAAACTCCTGCCCAGAGCAGTGAAAGCGGCAAACACTCTTAAGCTTTGAGAAGTCCTGAGGTTGACTCTTGTCTTTAGGCCGGATGAGGCCTTGTTGGTTTGTTCTTCCAATTGTACTGTGAATGTAGTGCCACATGATATTTTGTCTTGTATGTATTTTAAGGTGACAACTAAAGACAATTTTCCACCTTGGTGGACAATAACGTTGTCTTATTCTTATTCCTCTGACCTCTCTCTCAATCTGGCATTACTCTCTCTGGTCTCTCTCTAGTCTCTCTCTGGTCTCTCTCTGGTCTCTCTCTGGTCTCTCTGGTTTCTCTCTGGTCTCTCTCTGGTCTCTCTCTGGTTTCTCTCTGGTCTCTCTCTGGTCTCTCGCGGGCCTCTCTCGGGCCTCCCTGGGGCCTCTCTCATAACTCTATCTGGTCTATCTCTCTGGCCTTTCTGTCTCTCTCTCTCTGGTCTCTGCCTCTCTGGTCTCTCTTTCTCTGGCCTGTCTCTCTCTGTGGCCTCCCTCCCTAGTCTCTCTCTCTCTGGTCTCTCCCTCTCTCTGATCCCTCTCTCTCTCTCTAGTCTCTCTCATTATGGCTGTACCTGCTGCTGACGCTTTTCAGATGGCACTTCACGTCTCTGTGTTTACTGTGGCCGCGCTTTACAAGCTCCTCCCCCATCGCCTTGATGTCATCCAGTTGGCCACACCCACTCGCCAGCTCTGTCAAGAAATTCTGCAACAACACAAACACACATCATCAACCCCTTTCACTCCGGTTTCCCCTACCACTAAAAATATGTACAATAGGTCTGGCATGCGCCTCCTGTACTGGCGACCCCCCATTTCTGTGAGGAGTGAGAGGACAAATGCCCAAAAAGTAACAATTGTAAACCGCTTTGTGACTCTGGTCTGTGAAAGGCGGTGTATGAATAAACATTACTTAATTACTTACTCCAGCTTCTCTATAGAATTCAGAGAGATCCACATAGGTCTAGTCTTGGGTTTAGTCTGTCAAGGTCAGAGTCTGGTCCAGGTCTCTGTTCCAGTCATGGTTCCAGCTTGGTTCTGTTCCCTCCCTGGTCTCTCTCTGTGCTCGCTCTCTCTCTGGTCTCTCCCTCTGTGGTCTCTCTCTGGTTCTCTCTCTCTAATAGTCTAGTAATATCAGAGTCTGATCCAGGTCTTGGCTAGAGTCTAATGCAGGTTGTTGGTCTCAGTCTGCTTCAGGTCTCTGCTTAAGTCTGGTCCAGGTCTTGGGTCCAGGTTTTGTGTCTTACCTCGTACTTGGCCTGCAGAACCCCAGGGTTCTCGTTGGAGCTGAATGTGTTGAGGATGTTCTCCTTGTCATTCATCCAGGACTCAAACTCCTCACAGCTGCTGCAGAAGCGATGGAGATGCAGGGACTCCTCCAGAGACTGGATCTTAGACTGAGGACACAAACCAGGACTTACAGTATACTCTGTCCTAGTCCTGTCTCTCTCTCTATCTGTCTCTCTCTCCGGTCCCTCTCTGTCTGTCTGTCTCTCTCTCTCTGTCTGTCCGTCTGCCTCTCTATCTGCCTGTCTGCTTGCTCCGTTCTCTCTGGTCTCTCTTCCTCTGTCTGTCTGTCTCTCTCTCTCTGTCACTCTTTCCCTCTGTTTGTGTGTGTCTCTCGCGCTGTCTGTCTCTCCATCTGTCTCTCTCTCTGTCAGTCTGTCTGTCTGTCTGTCTGTCTGTCCAAAGTGGTCCAGGTCCTCTGGCCTCTGTTACCTGGCACAGTGTGAGCAGACTGTGGTACTCCTCCTCCATCTCCCTCTGGGCTCTCTCCACACTGCCTCTGTCGTAGTGTGGGTCTGGGCTCCAGGACGTGTGGATCTCTGTGGTGCTGCGCCTAATGGAGCGACTGCGACGAGGCCGAATGGAGGCCGAGACCTGGGGGCCCTCAGGAACACTGCTGGAGCATCCCACAGGAGGAGCCTGAGGGGACACAACATCTGCCTCAAGACTTTGTGAGAGGAATCACATTAGAACCCCCTTGCCCTTTATGGACCAATGGCTCTCCTCAGAGATGACTGCTTCTGTTGTGATTTAGGGCGATACAACATTAAAGAAAAATGAATTGAAGTTGTGGAGCGCTGCATCTCTCAGACTCACCTGGCTGAACAGGGTCAGGTAGGTCTTATGGATCAGCTGCTGGTTTCCTCTGTTGTCTCGAGCCATCACTCTCTCTCCATCCTCCTCCTCTCTGATGATGGTCACCACCTCGTTACGCTCCCAGGAGTACTGGCCTGGACACACATGGACACATCTGTATAAAATAATAATACGTTACATTATCCCAACAGACAGAGCCTTGTACAAGTGAAAACTTCATAATTATATTAATAATAATAATATGTTTTAAACAGCTTTTTTCAGGACACTATAAGACGCTTCACATTTTTCCTTCTCTCCAAACACAGTGGTGTAAACTACTACTGTAGCCACAGTTGCTCTCACAGTGGGAACACTAGGTGCCCTTCTCGAAGTCTCCCATCACAGTGCTAACCAGGCCCTCCCCGTTTTTTTAGTGTTAGGGAAAACCAGAACACCTGGAGGAAATCTAAGCGGACACAGAAAGAACATGTAAGCCCCACTCAGAAAGGCCTGGAGGTAGTATGGAACCCAGGACCAGGTGTCACTCTGATCAGACAGAGAACAGCCCGTGTTCAGCGGTCTCACCTCGGCTGAACCTGAAGCGCACTTTGGCCTTGCTGTCGGTGTAAGGGGCGGGGCTCCGGAGGCTCCTCCCACTTCCTGCTCGAGCTGATGTTGTCAAAGGTGGAGGCCCCTCCCCCTCATCAGAGGATGAATCGCTGAGCTGCAGTGGGCGGCTCTGCTGGGGCTCTGACTGAAAAAGATAGCACACACACAGACACATATATATGTTTTGTTTATTGTTAAATGTTCTTGTGACATTTTTTATGAACTCGTTACCAATACAAATGTGTAACTAATCATAAGTATCTAAAACCGCAACATTCGCAAAGTTACTTAAATTCTGGCAAGTGTGCGTGTGTATGTGTCTGTCTGTCTCTGTGTCTCTCCCTATGTGTATGTATCTGTCTGTTTCTCCCCCACCAAGATCACTGTCTCACAGTGATCTTGGTGAGCTGTGTATGGCTAAATGGCTGGTGCCTTTGATGTGGTGTTGTCTATGTTGAGTGCCTGGAGTGCCTTTTGGGGAAAGTCCGGTCTCATCCGCTCGGATGATATTTACCCAAGGTTGGCGGGTACATTCCTTTTGGCTAATAATCTGGCAATGGCTCTAAATTCATCTGGCAGCATTCATTCATCAGACAAAATAACTTAATAAAAGTTGAGAAAGGATCATCGAGAGATTATCAGTGGTCTTGTATGTCTTCCATTTTCTAATAATTGCTTCCACAGTGGATTTCCTCACACCAAGCTGCTTACCTATTGCAGAATCAGCCTTCCCAGCCTGGTGCAGGGCTACAATTTTGTTTCTGGCGTCCTTTGACAGCTATTTGGTCTTGGCCATAATGGATTCTGGAGTGTGACTGTTTAAGGTTGTGGACAGGTGTCTTTCACACTGATAACGGCTCAAACAGATGCCATTAATACAGGAAACGAGTGTTTGTAGGTGACCAAATACTTACCATAATTTGCAAATAAATTCTCATAGTTGAGGTATACCTATGGGGAAAATTACAGGCCTCCCTCTTCTTTTGAGTGTGTGTGTGTGCGTGTGTGTGTGTGTGTGTGTGTGTGTGTGTGTGTGTGTGTGTGTGTGTGTGTGTGTGTGTGTGTGTGTGTGTGTGTGTGTGTGTGTGTGTGTGTGTGTGTGTGCACTTGTTTTCAACTCCTGGTGGGTTCCATAACCTGAGATTCCACTCACGTCATGGGGACTGGTTTTACGTGGTGGGGCCCGAACACCGGACCCCACTGGTCCAAGCTTAATAATCAATGGGTAATGCTTTTCTAACAGTCCTTATGCAGTCTCTGTAAAAATATGGAAAGGACCCCTGGAGGTTTACTTTCCTGAAAAAAGTGTGTTATGTGTCGGAACCCTGGTGGTGGGTTGCGGGATATCAAGGAGGGGCACACTGGGGCAATTTCAGTCCAGCAGGCTGGAGCCAATCATGGAGCAGCACAACAGAGGAAATCAGGTGTCAGGCTAGAAAAAGGTGCAAGTGTGTGGTTCATTAGGCTGCAAGAAATCATGGAGGAGCACACTGAAGCGCACGCTTACAAACCACTGGTAAGTGCTGACTACAAGTCATGACTTCAAATTGTTATATAGAATGATTACAAATTATTTGTTGTTTGTGCAGCTTAGTCAAGAGTCCCTAATTGATGAAGTCGACTCAGATTCTGACGATTTAACTGTCAAGAAGAAACCTGTAAAAAAGTATGGAAAAAGAAAAATCAAAAACACTTTTCTTCAAGACTCGGAAAGTGACGAACCAAAGGCAAATAAGATTGTTATCATGCAGCTGCAAAAGAAGAAAAATGGGGGGCGAGTTTACAGCAAGAGACACTTCTGCCTCTACTGTTCAATGTCCTGCCACAAAATGTCCCGTCATTTGACTAGAAAACATGGAAATGAAAGTGACGTAGCCAGAGCATTGGCTCTACCTGTGAAATCTAAAGCACGTAAACTTCAGTTTGATTTGATCAGGAATAGTGGAAACCGTGAGCACAATTTTGAGGTTTTAAAGGCCGGCATTGGAACTTTAGTCCCAGCTAAACAGCCAAATTCCCCAGTTAAATCCAGTGAGTTTTTGCACTGTATAGACTGTGGGGCATTGCTTAAGCGAAAGTCGCTGTGGAGGCATGTGGCCAGGTGCCGGCTTTCACAGAAAGATGCCCAGGCTAAACCAGGTAGAAGTAGGGTCCAGTCCCTCTGCTCCCTAGCCCAGCCTGTACCGGAGGGCATCAGCAAAAAGCTGTGGTCTTTAATTTCGGCAATGCATCAGGATGAGGTCACGGGTGTTGTCAAAGCAGAAAAGGGGATTCTGAGACTCGGAGAGCACCTGTACTTAAAACACGGGCATGATAAGACTAAGCATGATTACATTAGGCAGAAAATGAGAGAAGTCGGTAGGTTAATTAACGAAGCAAAAACCGCAGGGAAACTGAAAACAATTAAGGATTTCTTTATTCCTTCCAACTTTAACCATGTGATTGATGCAGTCAGGTCTGTGGCTGGATATGATGAGGAAACAAATCAATACAAGACTCCATCCTTGGCCCTCAAACTCGGCCATAGCCTCAGAAAGCTAGCAGATATTCTTGAATGTGACTCAAAAATGGAGCATTGTGTTGATGAACTATTTATTAAAAACCTCCAACGAAGCCGGCTGCTTTTTGAGAAGAGGTGGGACGTCTGTGTTTCTTCTGCTGCCCTACAGACCCTCCGGCAAGCCAAGTGGAACACTCCGGACCTGCTCCCTCTGACTGAGGACGTTAGAGCCATGCATGCACATATTGAGGTATGTCGACCTGAATATGTGCAAACCCTAATAAGTGAGCCAACGTCTAAGCATTGGTCTAAACTGGCAGTTTTGACTCTTTGTGAGGTCATCATTTTCAATCGAAGAAGGGAAGGTGAGGTTTCAAAGATGCCACTGACAGCCTTTACCTTAAGAAGTAAGACTGGGATCCATTCTGACATTGCTCTGGGACTATCCCAACTTGAGAAAAAGCTGTGTCAGCATTTTCAACGCATTGAAATTAAAGGGAAAAGAAGTCGGAAAGTGGTGGTTGTTTTGACTCCTGAAATGATTGCTTCGATGGAGGTGCTGGTGGAGAACAGAAGGGCCTGTTCCATCTCTGACCATAACCCATACTTCTTTTCCCGCCCGGGCGCAGACACCCACATCAGGGGATCAGACTCCCTACGCCAGGTAGCCAAAGAATGTGGTGCGGTGCATCCAGAGATGCTATCCTCAACCAAACTTAGAAAGCACATAGCTACTATGTCTACAGTTCTCAATATGAAAGAGAATGAGCTGGACATACTTGCCAACTTCCTCGGCCATGACATTCGCATCCACAGGCAATATTACAGACTACCAGAGGGGACACTGGAGCTGGCCAAAATCAGCAAAGTGTTGATGGCCATGGAGCAGGGAAGAGTGACGGAATTCGAAGGAAAGAGCCTCGACCAGATACAAATTGAGCCTGAAGGTAATTCTTGATATTATTAAAATATGTATGATTTTTTTCCCCTAAAGGCCACTTGTATTTTTATTTTCTGTGCGACAGGGAGAGCAGTAGAGATCCTCTCACAAACGGACGGGCTAAAAGAAACTTCAAGCGGAGAACCTTCAACCATTCATCCAGATGCACCCCATGGTAGTGGCAGTGCCCCTTCTGGTAAGTGTACCAGGTGGGGGATTACAGCCAGGCTGCTTGGTCCTCACCCTGGGAGTGTATATTGCTAATATATTTTTATTTCTCTCCCTAGAACGTGTAAGAAAGCCATGGTCTGCATCTGAGGTGAAGGCTGTGGAGAAGACCATGACACCTTTCATACAGACTGGAAAGGTCCCTGGGAAGTCTCACTGCCTGGCCTGCATTAATGCCTCACCAGATGACCTTAGACATCGGACATGGAGTGGCATTAAATTCTATGTCAAAAATAGAATCACTGCAATTCGAAAACAAAATCTAAAATAAAATTCCTTTAAAATAGTTGTTTGGTTTCTATTGACTGTTTTGTATTACTTAAAGTAGTCCCAGTAAAAAAAGATTATGTCTATGGGTCCCATTCTGAACGGCCCTGTCAAAGGGACCCACCAGGTAACAAAAACGTGTATGTGTGTGTGTGTGTGTGTGTGTGTGTGTGTGTGTGTGTGTGTGTGTGTGTGTGTGTGTGTGTCACTCACAGTGATCTTGGTGAGCTCCTCTGTGCTCTTGGCCTGCTCCTTCAGTCTGCTGATCTCGGATCCGTAAGCGGTCATCTCCTTCTCCACCTTGAGATGGCGCTGTAGCAGAGCAGCTGTGCTCTGCTCGTCTTTCCCATGATCCTCTGCGGTGAGAAGGGGCTTCCTGTCGGCGAGCCACGAGGACACTTCTTCAACCTCTGAGAAGAACTGCAGGAAAAAAGACAAGAGACAGAGAGGGCTTTAAGGACAGTGATGATCCAGGAACTCCAAGAAATCTGTATTTGTCTCTCTCTCTCTCTGGTCTCACTCTCTAGTCTCTCTCTGATCCCTCTCTGGTCTCTCTCTGGTCTATCTCTTGTCTCTCTCTGGTCTTTCTGGTCTCTCTCTGGTCTCTCTCTGGTCTATCTCTTGTCTCTCTCTGGTCTTTCTGGTCTCTCTCTGGTCTCTCTCTGGTCTATCTCTGGTCTATCTCTTGTCTCTCTCTGGTCTTTCTGGTCTCTCTCTGGTCTCTCTCTGGTCTATCTCTTGTCTCTCTCTGGTCTTTCTGGTCTCTCTCTGGTCTCTCTCTGGTCTATCTCTGGTCTATCTCTAGTCTCTCTCTGGTCTCTTTGGTCTCTCTCTGGTCTCGGTCTATGCTCTCTTTGGTCTCTCTCTGGTCTCTCTCTCTATATCTGATCTCTTTCTCTGGTATCCCTCTGGTCTCTTTCTGGTTCTCTCTCTGGTTTCTCTTTCTCCGGTCTCTCTCTCTAAACCAATTGCTGTTTGTGTTTGTTATCATTGCATTTCCTGTGTTTGAACTCTTTGACTGTTGTGTTTTAGGGCTATACAAAATTACATTGAATTGATTTGACTTGTCCATCTGTAGACAGTCTATGTCCATCTGTTTACAGTCTCTGGTCTCACCTGCTTCACGGTGTTGGCGGCCTGGAGTCTGTCTCTCTTGGCTCGGCTCTCGTTGTTGAGGTGGTTCCACTGTCTCTGCAGACTTTTGATCCACCTCTGGATTGTCTTTTTCTGGTCCTGGTTCTGTCTGGAGACCAGGTCCTGGCCGCGGGACACCACTCCGCGAAACACTGCCTCTTGTGCCTGAAGCTCCGCCTCCAACACCTGCACCAAGACAAACCAAGGAGATCTTTGGATTAGAGGCAGATGAGTGACATTCTTAAAGTTTATGTGCACGAAATACAGCGAGATAGAGCGATACCAGAGAGAGACCAGAGGAAAACCAGAGAGAGGTAAGAGAGAGACCAGAGAGAGACCAGAGAGAGACCAGAGAGAGACTAAAGAGAGAGAAGAGAGAGACAAGAGAGACCAGAAAGAGACCAGAGAGAGCCTAGAGAGAGACCAGAGAGAGAGACCAGAAAGTGAGACAAAGACAGAGTTATATATGAATATAGACTCTTAAATCCAGCTCTTAGAATAATCAATTTCTTTTGTTTGCAAGGCCTGCTGGATCTGGGTCATCATCTATCTTCTCTCATTACACTAGCTCTCCTCTCTCTCCCCTCCCTTTCCTCTCTCCCCTCTCTCCCCTTTGACCTTGTACTTGCGCAGGCCCAGCTGGATCTTGCACAGCTCTCTTCTCTCTCTCTCCTTTCTCTCTCCTCTGACTCTCCTCTCTCCCCCCTTGCCCCTCTGACCTTGTGCTTGTGCAGACTCTGTTGGATCTGGCTCAGCTCTCGTCCAAGTCCTGAGCTCTGCAGTGGGACCAGACGCTCGAACAGCCACTGCTCCAGTTCGTCACAGTCTCTGAGGAACTCACACAGATGCAGCTGCGCCTCCAGCTGCCTCCTCCTGGAACCACACATAGCATCTATGTTATTTTTTTTCCTCTAGTGTTATTCGGTTTTTTAACCAGAATAGCCAGAATAGTATCCCCAATTTGTCTCGTATCAGATGTGAACAAGTGAAGGTTGAATATTTTCTGCGTCCATTATGAAGTGACAAGTTTCCCTGTCGACTTGTAGCTGACAAGAACCAGAAGAAGTTCATATCTCGCTTTCTAAAGACCAATCAGTAGTGGTCTGTCACTGGTGGTCAGGACAGAGACAGCAGAGACATGTGTGGCACCTAACCTAACCTAACTGGAACCTGGTTTCCATGGTTCAATTCTCACTTCTTGGCGCCACATGAGAAGAGTCCAAACCTGCTGCTGCTGACGGACACCAGCGACTTGTACTGCGCCTCCAGAGCTCTCACGCTGCTCTGGATCTGCTGAGCGTCCTTCCCTTCGCCCTGTGGAGGACAGTCTTTACACCACGGGTCTCCAATCTTTTTCAGTAGGAGATTAATACAAGAGGAAATCTATGTAATCATGATGACAAAACATGGAGAACACTTGTAAAATACACTATGATACTGTTTAACCCTCTATTTAATACTGACATTTCCCCACTGTGGACCGATAAAGGTTTTTTTCTCGTGTGTGAGTGTCACCTTCAGAGCGATGGCGCTGATGGAGCTCAGAGCTTCTCCTTGAGCTGAGACCTGAGCCTCCAGCAGGTCCTGCTTCTGCAGCAGAGCCTCCACCTCTGTCAGCTGTCTGCCCAGGTCTGAGACCGCAGCCTGAGACTGACACAGAGCAACATTATAGCGATATCATAGAGCTGTCGTAGAGCAATTGTAGATCTGTCATAGAGCTATCCAATCTCTCCTAAGTATGTGAAAAATTACTGACTAAAAATAACAATTTATTTTGTTTTCAAATTATTTTTATACTGAATAAGAAAAACGTAATCTGTTGTCTAGATTATTTCTAAATAACTGCTGTATTTTTTCCATGGAATGTCGGTTCTTCCTGTCATCATTAGTTTTACTGATGTTGTTGCTATAGTAACCCTGCACATGCTTCAGCTCTTACCTGCAGCTGCTTCAGCTCCTGCGACACCAGCTCCATGTCCCTCAGCATGCTTAGAGTCTGCACTACATTTCCCAGCATGCCTCTCTGCTCCTGCAGCTGCTGCTGGAGCTGCCTCCACCTCTGGCTGATGTTCCTCTCCCTGAAGAGCAGAAGGTTCTTGTATAAACTGTTCTGTGTTCAGACGACAGACACAGAACTCACCTGCTGAGGACCTGCTGTGTGCTGTGGAAGCCTCCGCGCTCAATGCTCAGGGCCATCTCTCTCAGAGCGGTGAAGCGTGGCTCTCTAGCCCCCACGTCCGCACACAGGGCCTCCAGCCTGCGGCCCGCGGCTTGAGACTCCTCCAGAGATTGCAGCGACCTCAATTCCTGCCGACCAATCAGACGCAGCGTGTCGTCCAGGTAACCCTCCCTCAGAGATGCCTGCAGAGAGGAAGAGAGGACCTGGGTTCAGTTCACTTTAACATATTTATATACAGCCTTAAATGCGGCACGGTGGCTGAGTGGATAGCACTCTCGCCTCTCAGCAAGAAGGTCCTGGGTTCGAATCCCGGTTAGACCAGGGCCTTTCTGAGTGGAGTTTGCATGTTCTCCCCGTGTCTGCGTAGGTTTCCTCCGGGTGCTCCGGTTTCCCCTACCACTAAAAATATGTACAATAGGTCTGACATGTGCCTCCTGTACTGGCACCCCCACCCAACAATTGTAAACCGCTTTGAGACTCCAATGTGCAGTGAAAAGGCGGTATATAAATAAAACCTTACCTTACCTTACCTTAAATCACAACAGCAGTCCTTTACAAACTTTACAAAGTTCACTGAGTTCTCAGAGTATATAATCAGTATCTATGCCTGACCTTGCGTTCAAACTTCTGAGCCAGCTGCTCCAACTGCTGCAGTCTCAGCAGGCTGTCGGTCAGGGCTCTCTCTCTCTCGTGTTCAGCCTTCTCCAACAGAGACCAGCTCCTCTCCACGTCACTGAGAGTTCTGCCTAAACACACCACGACACATTAGTTTAACCGAGAATTACAGGCCACTGACCCTGAGCAATCCCAGGGCTTGTTGCGCTTGTTCATTGAGGCACAAAAACCTGAGGAATACACGAGCAAATGTAAATCAACCATCCATCCATCCATCCATCCATCTTCTACCCTTTAATCCATTTCTGGGTCAGGCAGTCAGAGATGCCACCCAAGTCTCATAGCACCAGCCCCTCACTGACCCTCTGCAGGTGGTGAGTCCACAGGAGGACGGCTGCTCTCTGAGTGTGAGCATAGCCTTGATCTTTCAGTGGGGGCTTTGGGCAAAGTGGGGTTAAGTGTCTTGCCCAAGGACACAACAACAGCAGTCATCAGTGGGAGTCGGTGGAGAAGGTGTCGAGGTGGGAATTGAACCCACAACCTTCAGGCCTGAAGGCCAATGCTCTACCAACTGAGCTACTGTCGCCCCGTAAATCAACCAAAGAAACATGGTTTATGTTTCTTTGGTAAATCAACCAAAGAAACATAAACCATCTTTGTGCCATTGATTTAATAATAATTATAATTATAACTTTGTCTTAAACATGATTATTTTGCAGTAAAACCATTTAAATCTGAAGAGACCAAAGACAGACCATTAATACATTAAAATGATTTATTTATTTGGCGCATTGACCCCGGCAGTGACACTTGCAGCAATGAGATTGATTGCAGCTGAAGATGATCTCAGATCCCTCGGGGTCAAGCACTGGTGGTGGCCAGAAGCATGGTGGTGAGTCCACAGGAGGACGGCTGCTCTCTGAGTGTGAGCATAGCCTTGATCTTTCAGTGGGGGCTTTGGGCAAAGTGGGGTTAAGTGTCTTGCCCAAGGACACAACAACAGCAGTCATCAGTGGGAGTCGGTGGAGAAGGTGTCGAGGTGGGAATTGAACCCACAACCTTCAGGCCTGAAGGCCAATGCTCTACCAACTGAGCTACTGTCGCCCCGTAAATCAACCAAAGAAACATGGTTTATGTTTCTTTGGTAAATCAACCAAAGAAACATAAACCATCTTTGTGCCATTGATTTAATAATAATTATAATTATAACTTTGTCTTAAACATGATTATTTTGCAGTAAAACCATTTAAATCTGAAGAGACCAAAGACAGACCATTAATACATTAAAATGATTTATTTATTTGGCGCATTGACCCCGGCAGTGACACTTGCAGCAATGAGATTGATTGCAGCTGAAGATGATCTCAGATCCCTCGGGGTCAAGCACTGGTGGTGGCCAGAAGCATGGTGGTGAGTCCACAGGAGGACGGCTGCTCTCTGAGTGTGAGCATAGCCTTGATCTTTCAGTGGGGGCTTTGGGCAAAGTGGGGTTAAGTGTCTTGCCCAAGGACACAACAACAGCAGTCATCAGTGGGAGTCGGTGGAGAAGGTGTCGAGGTGGGAATTGAACCCACAACCTTCAGGCCTGAAGGCCAATGCTCTACCAACTGAGCTACTGTCGCCCCGTAAATCAACCAAAGAAACATGGTTTATGTTTCTTTGGTAAATCAACCAAAGAAACATAAACCATCTTTGTGCCATTGATTTAATAATAATTATAATTATAACTTTGTCTTAAACATGATTATTTTGCAGTAAAACCATTTAAATCTGAAGAGACCAAAGACAGACCATTAATACATTAAAATGATTTATTTATTTGGCGCATTGACCCCGGCAGTGACACTTGCAGCAATGAGATTGATTGCAGCTGAAGATGATCTCAGATCCCTCGGGGTCAAGCACTGGTGGTGGCCAGAAGCATGGTGTGAATGGGGCGTAGGCGGAGCAGGAGCCAGAGTGGGAGCCAGAGCGGGAGCCAGAGCAGGAGTCAGAGGAGGTGCTGGGGAGGCGGTGGGTGATAAGAGCTTCATGAAGCGCTGCTTGTCAGGAAGTGGCTGCCTTTTAAACTGCCCGCTTTGCTGTCAGAGGGTTGGCAGGAGGCTGGCTGGGCTGATTTTCAGAGGCACGAGGGTGGCAGAGCTATGTGATTGGTTGGCTTGGAAGGGAGGAGTTGCACTCGGTCTTTCAGTCTGAATTTGCGCTTCAGCTCCATCAGTGTTATAAAAAAACATCTCTCTCAGTTTGTCTCTCCATCAATCTTCATCCAATCTCAGTCTGAGTTTCTTATGAGTTTTTCCTTGCCGATGCAGGAGGGTCTGTTGGGCAGTTAGTGTCTAACAAGAAGGACTGTGGTGATGATCCAGGACACATTCATCAACATGTGTTCTATATTCTTTATGTGTCTTAACTGTTGATTCTCTGATCTGGTTGGTGATTTCAATGGTTTTGTTAAGTCCACTGAGATGACTTCTGTTGTGATTTAGGGCTATACAAGAATAAATTGTATTGTATTGTCTGAGTCTCAGTCCGAGTCTCAGTCCGAGTCTCAGTCCGAGTCTCAGTCCGAGTCTCAGTGCCCTAGTTCTAACACTGAGTGTAGTATTGTACCTTCTGGAGGGTTGTACGCTCGCTGGTTGTTTGCCACGAGTTTAGTTTTCAGATTGAACAGATGAGCCTCGATAGCCCCACGCTCCTGCAGAGAACAAGCCAATCATAAAACTGGCATCATTATTATAATAATAATAATCATTAGTATTATTATTACTATTATTATTATTATTATTATGAAGATATCTTGTGTTGGTCCCACAGAGGGGAATGTGTTCATTTAGCTTGGGCAAAGATGGTTCCAAACCTGATACTTGGGAGGTTTCTCCAGCGTTCTGAACAGTTTGAAGTCGCTCAGCAGAGTCTGCATTTCCTTCACAGAGTTCGGGAAGCGGCGGTCGTTCAGCTGCTGTATCTGAACACAGAGTGATGTCACACGTTCTACATGAGACGAGGATCTGAAGGCCTCTGTCAGGAGCTAGAGTACAGCGCCCGGGACCATCTCCAGATACTGGTCTGGAGCTGGGGGTTTTCCCAAATGTACATGTTTTTAGTGTTTGCACTGGAGATGACACAGGGAGAACATGCAAACTGCCTCCGTGCTGCTGTCACTGAAGGACACAGTGGAGAGACTTTAATTCTTAAGAAATGTTATACATGCCTTCTCTTATGCCTTTACTTGTGACTTTCCTGCCTTTACATGCCCTTACAGAAGAAGAGGATTACTGTCCTTGTTGCTGGTTGTGTATGTGTGTGTGTGTGTGTGTGTGTGTGTGTGTGTGTGTGTGTGTGTGTGTGTGTCTGCTATGGTCCTGTGTGTAGCCGTTAGTCCTGTATGTAGTGTGACATCACAGAGAGTGTAGTGTGACATCACCTTGCTGTTGATCCAGTGCAGCAGGTCTGACACCAGCTGCTCGTACTGTAGCTTCATGTGGTCCAGCTCCAGCAGGATCCCGATGATCTGAAACACATTTATTTAAATAGCACAGGTTCATAAGGCACTGGTACACAGAGACAGGGCCTGTGGACTCGGACTCATCCCTCAAGACTCAGACATGACTCGCACTTAAGACTTTATCAGGAAACATTTTCTTTTGCAGGTGAAAGAGCCTTGAGATTCACTATTTGAAAAGCTGAAATAAGGATGTGATAGAGGCCAAACATCCATGTTTGTGAAACAGACTTATTTGTTTATTTTAATTTCTTTATACTTTTGTATATATATATATATATATATATATATATATATATATATATATATATAATATATATACATTTTATTTTTTTATTCAGTACACATTCAATTAGACAATCATGATTGTTTACTTTCTTGCTCATGCCTTTCCAAAAGGCAATCACCACAGTGACTGTCATAGCTCCAACAAGACCAGAGAGAAAGCATATTATCTTTATGTACACTCATAGAATATATTCATTATTCTTTATTTTATATCTACTATCATGCAATTTCCCACTCAAGGCAACACTCCAGAACGCCATCATGGCTCACTCTAGTCATCCCTCTACCCAGCCAGCCACCACCAGGGGCCCCGGCTGCACCAGCCGGGCGACGTCACAGAGAATTTTGACGCATGTGTTTAATGTGGTTTTACTGCAAATGGAGAATAAACTGAATGTGAATCTGAGTTACCTTGGTCACTCGCTTCTGCACCGTCTGCTCCTGGTGACGTTTGGAGAAGTAGTGGTAGAAGAGCGACACGTACGTCATGATGGATTTCTCGTCTGGGTGAGGAACAAGCATGTCCTCCACCTCCAGTAGCTGCATGATCCCAAACTGCTGCTCAGACAGGCTGAAGGCGTGGATCAGGGCCGAGTCGGGGTCCCAGGACAGGAGGGGGGGGTAGGAGAACAGCTCAGGTCTGTGGAGAGGAGAGGAAAGATGAGGTTTGTGGAGGGGAGAGAACAGCAAAGTCCTGCTTCAGTCTCTGCTTCAGTCTCTGCCTCAGTCTCTGCCTCAGTCTCTGCTTCAGTCTCTGCCTCAGTCTCTGCTTCACTCTCTGCTTCAGTCTCTGCCTCAGTCTCTGCCTCAGTCTCTGCCTCAGTCTCTGCCTCAGTCTCTGCTTCAGTCTCTGCCTCAGTCTCTGCTTCACTCTCTGCTTCAGTCTCTGCCTCAGTCTCTGCCTCAGTCTCTGCTTCAGTCTCTGCCTCAGTCTCTGCCTCAGTCTCTGCTTCAGTCTCTGCTTCAGTCTCTGCCTCAGTCTCTGCCTCAGTCTCTGCTTCAGTCTCTGCCTCAGTCTCTGCCTCAGTCTCTGCTTCAGTCTCTGCCTCAGTCTCTGCTTCACTCTCTGCTTCAGTCTCTGCCTCAGTCTCTGCCTCAGTCTCTGCCTCAGTCTCTGCTTCAGTCTCTGCTTCAGTCTCTGCCTCAGTCTCTGCCTCAGTCTCTGCTTCAGTCTCTGCCTCAGTCTCTGCCTCAGTCTCTGCTTCAGTCCCTGCTTCAGTCCCTGCCTCAGTCTCTGCTTCAGTCTCTGCTTCAGTCCCTGCTTCAGTCCCTGCCTCAGTCTCTGCTTCAGTCTCTGCTTCAGTCTCTGCCTCAGTCTCTGCTTCAGTCCCTGCTTCAGTCCCTGCCTCAGTCTCTGCTTCAGTCTCTGCTTCTTGCTACTGCGATATTTGGGCCACAATTCAATATTAACTTTTTTAACATATTTACACACTTCCTGTACTTTGGCACAACCTGCGTGATTCTATCAATGCCAAATGTCACAAGTACATTTCTCCTTTGTGGGATCTATAATGTTTATCTTATCTTATTATTGCGGTTCTTGACACGTTCTGGCACAAAGTATTGTGATTTGTTTCTACGATGAATTGCATGACAAACATGGAGGACAATAAGACTCAACTCAAATGGTGAGGAACATAAACCTCAGAGATATGGCGATACTGAACAGAATAGTTTTCCCCTCCTCACCGGTGAGCGTGGATGAGAGCGTTGAAGGCCAGTCCGTCTCTCCAGCTCGAGGAGAAGTCCTGGACGCTGACCCCAGAGTATCCTGCAGTTTTCCTCTGACACCACAGCAGCAGAGCCTCTTTGGCCGAGCGCCGAGCCTGACCTTCAGACTGAGACCAGGAACAAACCAAACCATCAAGAGCTTAAACAAACCAAACCATCGAGAGCCTGACTCTCCGACAGAGACCAGGAACAAATCCAAACCTCCTCCCCCTGTACCTCCTCCCCCTGTACCTCCTCCTCCTCCTGCACCTCCTCCTCCTCCTGCACCTCCTCCTCCCCTTGTACCTCATCCCTCTTCTAGTCCTATGCCTCCTCCTCCTCCCTTGCACCTCCTCCTTCCCCTGTACCTCCCGCTCCTCCTCCTGTAGCCCCCCCACACCCCTACCTACTCCCCCCCTTGCACCTCCTCCTCCCCCTGTACCTCCTTCTCCTGTATGGGTCCGATCTGGAAGCGGAGGATGATGACCCAGAGGAGGCCCAGGATGAGGGTGCGGTCCCCGTCCACCACATTCTCAGGTCCGATCAACTCCAGGGAGATCTTGGTCCGGAGGAAGTTCAGGGCAATGCTATTGTTTTCAAGGCAGTGCACACGGAGCCGGGCTCTAGACCGAGCTCCACGAAGAGAGGTCCCTGAGATCAGCTCCAGGAGCCGGATCAGAACCAGACCAGACTTCAGCTCTGAGTACACATCTGACACCTCCATGGGCTCCTGCGGACGGACACATGGTTATGGAGTTAGCATTGAGCTTTCACGGTTACGGAGTTAGAATTGAATGCTAACAGTTATGGAGTTAGCATTGAATGCTAACAGTTATGGAGTTAGCATTGAATGCTAATAGTTATGGAGTTAGCATTGAATGCCAACAGTTATGGAGCATTGAATGCTAACTCTCAATTCTCTGGCTGAGAAGGAAGAGTTGTTATTTCTCTGGTTCTTTCCATTTATTTATTTTTACCTCTTACATTTCAAATATGAATTAACAATAGCTAACTTACTTTTGCGTAGAGTGGCACAGAGAAGTTACGATAATGCAAAACAACAAAGAACCAGGAGAAAATTAGTTCAGCAGGAAAATTAATCTGTACTGTATCTTTTGTCTTATTAAAAGAACGATCTCGGCGATGAAACAGGAGAAAAATTCCTCTGTCTCCTGCACCTCCCCTTCCTCATGTACCTCCATAGACTCCTGCTGACGGACAGCTGTGTAGTTATAGTGTTAGCATTGAGCGCTAACACTTAAAAACAGTGATGCGTGTTGAGATTTTCTCATTTAAATTTTAATTTTTAACAATATTATTTCTACTTCTTTCATTTCAAATATTAGATGACGCGAGCAAAGATACTTTTGCTTATAGTGGCACACTCAAAAACGCTAAACAGCCTAAAAACACAAAGAACCACAAACTTGGAGCCTAAGTTATCTATAATTTCAAAATAGACTGATTAATTTGTTAGCTGTGCTTCTATGTTCTTAAATACAAGTGTGAAGCGGTTATGCTTCTAATTACATTAATACAGGTTGGAATCAGTGGGGGAGGGTCCCAGCTCAAAAGTGGCCAAAATGACGTGCGCTGACATGCTTGCAATACCACCCCGGGCCGATGGGGGTGGACCCGGAAGTAGAATTAGCAAATGCTAACATATAGCATCTTCTTACCTCTCAAAAACACTTTTACAGGATGGTCCAAAAGTTGGCTCTTGGCCCAAAGTTCCGTTCCACATGTGTGTCAATGCTGAGGGGGGTGTATTTTTTTGGACCACTCTCGTTTACCCGCTGTGATTTTTTTTAGTCAGTCGTTTAAACGAATGGGGCTCGTGCAGCTGACGCATGCGCAGATGCGTTTTTTCACATTTTCCTGCCCCCGTGGCCATTTTGAATCACTCCATGAGAGCCAAATTTTTGGCCCATTAGTTAGAACGGCGGAGACAGGCGTGACTACGTCCATTAATATACAGTGCCTTGCGAAAGTATTTGGCCCCCTTGAACCTTTCAACATTTTGCCACATTTCAGGCTTCAAACATAAAGATATAACATTTTAATTTTTTGTCAAGAATCAACAACAAGTGGGACACAATCGTGAAGTGGAACAAAATTTATTGGATAATTTAAACTTTTTTAACAAATAAAAAACTGAAAAGTGGGGCGTGCAATATTATTCGGCACCTTTACTTTCAGTGCAGCAAACTCACTCCAGAAGTTCAGTGAGGATCTTTGAATGATCCAATGTTGTCCTAAATGACTGATGATGATAAATAGAATGCACCTGTGTGTAATCAAGTGTCCGTATAAATGCACCTGCTCTTTGATAGTCTCAGGGTTCTGTTTAAAGCACAGAGAGAACCATGAAGACAAAGGAACACACCAGGCAGGTCCGAGATACTGTTGTGGAGAAGTTTAAAGCCGGATTTGGATACAAAAGGAGCACTGTGCAAGCAATTATATTGAAATGGAAAGAGTATCAGACCACTGCAAATCTACCAAGACCCGGCCGTCCCTCCAAACTTTCATCTCAAACAAAGAGAAGACTGATCAGAGATGCAGACAAGAGGCCCATGGTCACTCTGGATGAACTGCAGACAACTACAGTTGAGGTGGGAGAGTCTGTCCATAGGACAACAATCAGTCGTGCACTGCACAAATCTGGCCTTTATGGAAGAGTGGCAAGAAGAAAGCCATTTCTCAAAGATATCCATAATAAGCCACCTGGGAGACACACCAAACATGTGGAAGCAGGTGCTCTGGTCAGATGAAACCAAAATCAAACTTTTTGGCCACAATGCAAAACGATATGTTTGGCGTAAAAGCAACACAGCTCATCACCCTGAACACACCATCCCCACTGTCAAACATGGTGGTGGCAGCATCATGGTTTGGGCTTGCTTTTCTTCAGCAGGGACAGGGAAGATGGCTAAAATTGATGGGAAGATGGATGGAGCCAAATACAGGACCATTCTGGAAGAAAACCTGTTGGAGTCTGCAAAAGACCTGAGACTGGGACGGAGATTTATCTTCCAACAGGACAATGATCCAAAACAAAAAGCCAAATCTACAATGGAATGGTTCACAAATAGACGTATCCAGGTGTTAGAATGGCCAAGTCAAAGTCCAGACCTGAATCCAATCGAGAATCTGTGGAAAGAGCTGAAGACTACTGTTCACAAACGCAGTCTTCGCAGACGTGAGTCTTCCAACCTCACTGAGCTCCAGCTGTTTTGCAAAGAAGAATGGGCAAGAATTCCATTCTTTCGATGTGCAAAACTGATAGAGACATACCCCAAGCGACTTGCAGCTGTAATTGCAGCAAAGGTGGCGCTACAAAGTATTAGCGCAAGGGGGCCCCACTTTTCAGTTTCTTATTTGTTAAAAAAGTTTAAATTATCCAATAAATTTCGTTCCACTTCACGAGTGTGTTCCACTTGTTGTTGATTCTTGACAAAAAAAATAATTTTTATATCTTTATGTTTGAAGCCTGAAATGTGGCAAAATGTTGAAAGGTTCAAGGGGGCTGAATACTTTCGCAAGGCACTGTATACAGTCCATCCATCCATTTTCTACCCTTTAATCCATTTCTGGGACAGGGGGGTGGCAGTCAGAGATGCCACCCAGGTCTCATAGCACCAGCCCCTCACTGACCCTCTGCAGGTGGTGAGTCCACAGGAGGACGGCTGCTCTCTGAGTGTGAGCATAGCCTTGATCTTTCAGTGGGGGCTTTGGGCAAAGTGGGGTTAAGTGTCTTGCCCAAGGACACAACGACAGCAGTCATCAGTGGGAGTCGGTGGAGAAGGTGTGGAGGTGGGAATTGAACCCACGACCTTCAGGCCTGGAGGCCAATGCTCTACCAACTGAGCTACTGTCGCCCTAGTCTATTAAGAGTATATACTGTGATGATACTGTGTGATACTTTCTCCCGCGATCAATTATCGATATGCATTTGCCAAGTATCGATTTTGAAAAAATATATATATATATTTATTTATTTTCCTATTTTTATTTTTATTATTATCAATACTTAATATACATTACGCATCTCCATTCCATATCATGAAATAAAGCGGGGTTTTTTCACTTAAAATTTTTCTTTAGTTTATGCCATAAATTGGCATATGGTATATTTCTGACCAATATATCGTGATATAATCGTTATAGTGATGTAATCGTTATTGTGATATAATCTTTATCGTGAGCTTTGTATCGCGTATCGTATCGTATCGTGACGTACCCTGATGTTCCCACCCCTACAGTCTATGGTTGGAATACTCGGAAATGGTTAGCCATGCTGCTCAGTTCCTTGATACAGTCTTGTAGTGGTTAGCTAATAGATCCACGGGTTAGCTGTACTTCTAATTTCAATTGTACTGGTTTGAAGTGAATAGCTATGCTTCTATATTCATAAATATATGTTTCAAGTGGTTAGTCGTTTGTTTATACAGAATGAACCACAATGGGTGCATCTCAAAATAATTCAGGGGCTTGGCCACGCTCTGACCAATCAGAGCTGCTGATCAGAGCGGAGCCAGAGTGGGAAGGAAGAGCAGGGTTTGTTGCATAAAATTGTGGATTTATAGAAAACTAAAGGATTAAGCAAGAAAAAAGGTTCAGGATGACAAGGGACAAGGGCAACCTTTATGTAAGCTGTAGGTTCTCTGTCAGCTGAGGTTGAGGTGTTTTAGTTCACATTGAGTTCTATGGGACATTTTCTGCGCAGCCCTCATGAATTTAGGCAGCAGTACCGTGGGCGCCCCTTGTGCCCATAGGTGGGACAGCTATAACCTAGTAATACTCTATCCAGTGATTATAGATCACTGCTTCAAACCTTTGAATACTTTTGAGTTTGGCCATCTTGGATTCACAACGTTACCACAGGAGGGCGCCCCAGGCCAACATGTACACGTGAAATACTCAGTTATAACAACATAAAGCAGTTGCCGTGGACAGAATAACAAGTGTAAAGTTGTTAGCAATGCTTCTAAGTTCATAAAATATTTTTTTTTCAGACAAAGAACAATTTTGTTATCTAGTCACTAGATATCTAAAGATATCTATCTAGATAGCTAGAATCACTGAGGCAGAGCTCTGTGTGAACACTGAGGGACGTGTTTAAGCTGATAATTGTGTGTTTACTTTAACATGAGTCTTTGTAATGACCCATAACTCCTCCTGATGGTCTCGGGTCAGCCTCTCCCTTCTCTCTCCTGCCCTCTCTCTCTCTCCCATCTCTTGGGTCTTATCTGTGTGTGTGAGGCCTGACAGCCTCTCACTGCTGTTGTTTGCTTCTGTAACTTCTTCCAGATGCAGGACGTCATTCCACACATTCCTCTGCGTTCTTCTGTGAGAGCTGCAGATATGAAGGTGAACAGCTGTGACGCAACCGGGTCGAGAAGGGGCTCTATACAGAGTTCATACCACCAGAAATCTGCTTCAATACCATTATAAAATATATTGTGAATCATAAATACTGCAATCATGTGCAATGTGCAATTCTGCCATTTCAGAAAGTCCATTGAATGTCACTTCATCTACTTAATATCCTGCCAAAAATAAGGGAGAGGAGAAAGGAGCGAGAAAGAGAAGAGAGCGAGGAAAGTCAGAGAAGCATTTACAGCTAGCTAAGAATATTGTGTGTGCTCCCTGTGTCACTTACTACTGTCTGTATGTGCGCTGCAACATAGACATTTTACCTCAGTGTTGATGAATATAGGTTCTCTT